GATGGGTGTATTAAGGTAGATGTGTATGAGATAGATGGGTAGGTACTTGTTATCACATTCACGGGTGGGCCCAGACACATATTAAATTAGACGGGTGGGCCGAGGGTATTATAAAATATTGTATTATATGGGTGGGCCCAGATGCATATTAATTAGACCAGTGGGCCGAGGGTGGTATACAATATAGATGGGTGGGCCCATGTGTATCATAATTGTAGACATGATGGAGCTGAGGTAGTTGTACATCAACCAAATCAGAGGAGGTAATAAATCAAAGTTACCAAGTTCCCGGAGCATCAGGTGATCTCCTGACATGGCAGTGCGAAGCTTGTGTTGCCCTACGAGATGCCAAGTTCCAGCCACCAGAATTTGAGTCAACTGTATCGAGTTCCGAGTTCTGGGACCCGGAACTCACCACATAAGTTAGTTAATACTTTTTGATGGTGCACAGGTTGTCTTGCAGAATGTGGAATCCGGGGTGCGAAGCTTGTGTTGCCCTACGAGAAGCCAAGTTCCGACCACCAAAATGTGAGTCAACCATACTCAGAGGAGGTAATAAATCAAAGTTACCGAGTTCCCGGAGCAGCAGGTGATCTCCTGACATGGCTGTGCGAAGCTTGTGTTGCCCTATGAGACTCCAAATTCCGACCACCCAAATATGGGTCAACAGTACCGACTTCCGAGTTCCGGGACCCGGGAGTCAACAAATGAATATCTGATGACCAGCGAGTCAACCTTACTCAGAGGAGGTAATAAATCACAGTTACTGAGTTCCCGGAGCAGCAGGTGATCTCCTGATATGGCAGTGCGAAGCTTGTGTTGCCCTACGAGACGCCAAATTCCGACCACCCAAATATGGGTCAACCGTACTGACTTCCGAGTTCCGGGACCTGGGAGTCGACAAATGAATATCTGATGACCAGCACACTTCCAATCAGGTAGTATTTCATTGAGCAATGGATAATAATACATCTTTGACAGCCAAAATTATCCATGGCTCCCGTATCTGATCCTCTCTATCTCCACCCCCTATAACACCAAAGTCCGGATATCCAGCATTCAGCGTCTGATTTCCCAAGATTAACATCCAGCATGAACGGTTCTTCCCCTTCCCCTCCTGATAGCATAAACATCTGGCGCACTTGGGCCCTGACTGTGACTTATGAAGCAGGGAAATATACTGAACAGAAATTCAAGGCAGAGAAGACTGGAGGAGGCCCAGTCATACCTTCCCCCAACCTAGACACTGATCTGGTGATGGCGTGTGATCGCTTGGCTGATGTACTCATAAAGGCATCTAAAAATCCCAGTGGGTCTTCCTGCAGATTCGGAAAATTCTATTTATCATTCAAATTCCTGCATGACAGTTCAGATGCAGATGGATATTGCAAGATATAGCAAATTGATCTCCCTGAAGGACACCGGGCATAATGAACATAGAGAGGCGAGGTTGCTTGAGAGGTGTCCTCCTGGCCATGAAGGCAAAAGGTTGGTTGATGAATCTGCCATAATTCTTGATGCATCCGGTGCCATCATTGCATGGTATCTCCCAGACGCCCTGACAGACACCACCCAGGTGTGTAATATACATTGTTACTCGATGGATATCGAATATTAATGGAACCTACATAAGGAAATCAGGGAGGCCACCAATTTGCTTGCTCCAAGCCTCGAAAAAAGTGTAAGGGCTGATGGCAATTGGCGAACTAATCAAAGGTTGTTCAACCGGGGCTCGGAAGATGTTGGAGCAACTCCCGGATGCATCAATCTATCTCCGGCATGGTTTCAACAGGGACACGAGGTAGGATCTGATGAGATGGTGATTCCGGCAGTCATACTTACCAATCCCAAAGAATGTGTCCGATCCGGAGGTATCTGCATCATTGAAGGGACCTTCCTGCGAGAATATCCTCAAAGCCATTGCAAGGCCAGCAGCCATCGCGTCCGCGGCACTCAGAGTCATGCATCCTGAGCAGTACTGGGCAGGGTTGAGAACCTTGTCAAACCTTGGAAATATAGCAGTAAGCAAGGATCTGCCACAGATGCCGGAGGCCCTGCAGTACTGGGCATCCATGTTTAACACCCTCTCCATCATTTCCAATCGGGAAACCCCCCATCATCGAGACCACATGTCCATTGCTGAATGCTTCGACATTCTCACCACCGTGGGGAACTATTCTAATGCTCGGATGACAATGCCAAACCTTCAGCTGGAGTTCAAGTACAATTCCGGCTGTATGATTGCATTTTCCAGAAGGATTGTGAGACATGGAGTTTATAATGTGGAAGGGGATCGGATTGCTTGGGCATGGTATATGAGGGATGCTGTTCATATTTATGCTGGTGTTCCATCATGTGGATGGGCTAGTGTGGATGGTCCATACAGTGTGTGAAAGATCAAACAAAGAGCAAGCATTGTGACCTATATACATTCCAACAAATGAATACCATGTACCAATTGTGATCCGGACCTCAATACTCAATTTTGAGCATTTCCAAAGTGATATGTGGGACTGAATAATTTGGATGCAAGCCTCGGTATTCGATAATTGGAACTCGGGACTTGACATATGGGAGTCCCGAGTGCTGGGGTACTTAGTCCCGACACCCGGACCTCAGCACGTGATATCTGAGACTGGGGGAAGATGTATAAATATGCTCGAATTAACATTTGTTATTGCCATACACATTTAACAAAACCCTGAACCCTGACATTGTGGACTCCGGACTCGACACTGTTCTGAATACCGAGTTCCGGACGCCCAGGTCCCGAGTCCCGAAATTCGGAGGTCGGGGTTCAGAGACCCGGAGCTCGGAAACTGTGTTGGGTGTCAGGGTATCCAGACCATTGGAGATAGCATGTGTCAGTATTTTGCGTTTCATGGTTTATGTTGGGTGAATATGGAATTGGGGATCAGGGACTCGGTATTCAGAACAGTGTCAAGTCCCAGGTCACGAGCTCCGAGTCCCGAGTGCCGAACCCCGAGTCCCGAGTCCCGAATTTCGGAAGTCGGGGTTCGGCGACCCGGAGCTCGGCAACTGTGTTGGGTGTCAGGGTACTTGGAGCATTGGAGATAGCATTTGTCAGTATTTTAAGTTTCATGGTTTATGTTTCGTGATTATGGAATCAGGTGTCAGGGACTCGGTATTGAGAACAGTGTTGAGTCCCAGGTCATGAGCTCTGAGTCCCGAAACCCACACCCAGCAGTTGCCGAGCTCCGGGTCGCCGAACCCCGACCTCCGAAATTCGGGACTCGGGACCTGGGTTTCCGGGACTCGGGACTCGGAGCTCGTGACATGGGACTCAACACTGTTCTCAATACCGAGTCCCTGACACCTGATTCCATAATCACGAAACATAAACCATGAAACTTAAAATACTGACAAATGCTATCTCCAATGCTCCAAGTACCCTGACACCCAACACAGTTGCCGAGCTCCGGGTCGCCGAACCCCGACCTCCGAAATTTGGGACTCGGGACCCGGGGTTCGGCACTTGGGATTCGGAGCTCGTGACCTGGGACTTGACACTGTTCTGAATACCGAGTCCCTGATCCCCAATTCCATATTCACCCAACATAAACCATGAAACGCAAAATACTGACACATGCTATCTCCAATGGTCTGGATACCCTGACACCCAACACAGTTTCCGAGCTCCGGGTCTCTGAACCCCGACCTCCGAATTTCGGGACTCGGGACCTGGGCGTCCGGGACTCGGATGTGAGATTTTTGAATGCATAGAATATGTTACATCTTGTATACAATGAAGACTGAATGGGACTACACTCCTTTGCCTTTCCTCAATTTCTCTAACATGTCAGTGTACATATTCACCTCTCCCATCTTAGCTTTGATGCCCTGATCTTGCTCCTCCATCAATGCTTCCATGCGTTCTTTGATGAACCTCAGTCCCATGAGTGGTGGAGTCGAAGTGTTTTTCAACTTCTCTGGAAGTACCAAAGCATCATTCTCAACATTAAGCTGAAACAGATAAGTCATCAATCAAGGTAATTCAGCTAACATCTTACCGCCCAATACTGGTAGTGAGAGATGCAGGAAGCCATTATTTCATCCCACTGCCATGGTTGATCAGGGATCCAGGTGTTTCCCATCCACCATGGACATGTATATGCGAACACAATCCGGGACGGATGTCCTGCAATTGGCTCATCATGAAATGAAAGGAGGTGGAATGAAAAGACATCATCCGGAACCGTGTTCCAGGTGAGCATGGGATACAACTTAAGGATATAAGCAACAGGGACCGGAAGAACCGACACGATATTCTGTGAAGCGGAGTACTGCAGGAGTGGTGTGACAAATGTCTGCTCAAATTCTTAGCATTGACCAACAAAGTCATCAGGGCAGTGGTGACATACATTCATCTCCCATTGCAGCCCGGCTTTAAAATACTTGATCCAGTCAGCAGATAGACCATTGTTGGCAGCTTCCGTCCGATATTGAGAGATGCATGCATGGACGCGTGATCCAGCCATTGCCAATGTGCAGGAAATAGTTGCAAGGCTCAGCTTCAGAGGTCGGTAATGGCTTCTGGCATTCAGAGTGCCAGAAGTGAATGCATGAGATGCAGACATGGCTAATACAGGACTATGGCGCTGGCAATACAAGTGAAAGATGGTCAAGATGTGAAGATAAGAATCACTGATGGATGGATACGAAATTCAAACTCCGACATGGGCTGACCTGGACAATTCCCAGGCCTCAATGATGTATGTGGAAAAAGGGACTTCATGAGAAAACAATGTTCATTCATCTCCAGCCTCTATCAACATGTTTTGTAGGTCTTGAAAAGCTGCCTGCGCATCCTGTGCCAGCAACAAATACATTTGGGATTGCCTTCCGGCGTAGCATCCGTGACCCAGAAGTCATTTCTCCAATGATCCCTGCATGTGCTCGCCCCATTGGGTTGTTTTCCACAAAAAGAACTTACATGTCCAATCCATCTCCAATTTGACCAATAGCATTTCCTCCCTCCATCGATCCCATAGTGCCTTTGCCCTCAGCCAATGGACTCGGTAAACTTGGCATGGGTCCAGTCAGGTAACCGCGGGATATGACATGCAAGTAGGAACTCACATTCCTCATTCCACGATTGATCAGGACCCCCGAGGTCGACTTCAACAGACCAAAACCAAGCCAAAGATTCATTTTGTTGACCTCGGGCATTTGGGTCGCCCACTGCAGTGCTGATTTTGAGTTGCTCGCGAAGCAGGGGTTTGTATTTCTGAAGCTGGTCTTGCCCCGGCTCAAGTTTCATCATTTGCTTCCTTGTCTTTGTATATATGCTGGCATGGAGGGAGACTGCCTGCTGCACCGACATCACCTGGGACCAAGCTCGAGTTTTCAGGGCCTGGGAATTGGCCTGCCTAACAGTTGTTCGGAACAGGATGGCCTTGTTGCAAAGGTAAATGCGGAGATTGTGAAGGGCATCATTGGCCTGCCCTTCACGAAGCAACATCTCCAGGGGAATCAGATCCTCTGCCATGCATCATCTGCATCTATCAACCCCCAGGTTTGATGGCAATGGGATTACAGTGAGCTTGGGAGAGTTTGTCCATGTATGAGATGTCTCTGTGAAATCCGCCGGGTCATCATCGAGATCATCTAGAATGTCTACGTCCAAGTCTTCAGGTTCATCATCTGCATCAAATCCCTCCCCGAGATGTATTAGAGCAGACCAAGCAAATCCATCTATCTGGCCTTGGAGCCGATCTCATTGACAGGCGATGTCTAATCTCTGTGTCTCTGTCATATCCCATATATTCACACTTCTCTTCCGGACTTCGGACCCTGAGATCTGATCCAGTCCGATGTATAGATCCACTTCCGATCTGATTTATGATAAGCTTTCTAATTCATTTCCTGTTCATATAACGTTAAACACAGCCTATTCGGTATTTCCTCTTCCCGGTGTTTCGGTTATACTTATTACCGGTATGCTTACTGATCCATTAACCTATGTCTCATTTCTGACTCGCGTTTGATAACCGTTGCACATGCTTCGTACATAGCCTCAGACCTTTGCTTACTGATACTTCCGTTATCCTCATAGTATATAAACTCGTGTATATGTCCTGTAGTACCTCAGTTCGAATATCATCTTAGTTTGTCCTCTTTCTGTCCTCCGGACTTGAGTCCTTCTTACTCTTGTCACCCTCCGAGACTTCGGATAGATTCCGATAGTCTATATCCTCGGCTCTACCTTCGGGTAGTCTTTACTCTGTTAGTTTCTAGTTTGGATACGTCTGGATTAGCCTTATACGCGTTTCCGATATACAGAAGACATCTGGATATACTACGAGACCCGTCCGGACCTTCGGACACATTATCGTTAGTACTTTGAAATAAGGGACAGTACTTGGGAAAGGGGCACAGCGTACGAGCTGAGGCCGAAGTCCTTCGGATCCGACCCTACGAGAGTACGACCTTAACAGTATATTCGAACTCACACCTTTCCAAGTACACTTACTCATATCATGGCTCCTACTAAAGTAAACCAAGCCGCTTTGCACACTGTCGGACTTTCGTCCACCCGACGCTGGAACGGTGACCACTAAAACACAAAAACACACCTAACACTCTACAGAAAAATGGATCAAAACAAGCCCAAGACAACAAGACATGTGACTACACTCTAAAAACACTCTCGGCAACCTCCAGTGACTCCGATCGGCTGCTTCCTGCCGCTGCTTCTACTGCCTCCGAGCCTTTCTGCACCTAGGCCTCGCGTCCCTTGCTGACACAAGCCTGTCCTAGGCCAGTCAATCAACACGAAAACCCACTCTACTGCTATCTCCCAGCCTGCCTGCCCTAAACCTCACTCACTCAGAACTCTACTGACACCAACCCGCTCCAAAACCCAGGCCAAAGGACCACCGGCCAAACCTAACCGTCACAACGCGATCCGACATCTGTAGTAAACACCTTCACCAGTTTCTCTCAGTGTCGTGTATCACACGGTCCAGCTCAAAGTATTTCGCAACTCATGAATCGTCCGCATCCAGAAACCCCTACATGCACTCCTGCCGGAGGTGATCCGGATGACGAAGGACCTCCGGACGATGAAGATACTCCCGGTGGAAACCCTCCGGATGACTTCGGAGGTGATCCGGATGATGATCCGGATGACAACGACGATGAATTTGACGGGTTAAACCCACAAGACCGTGTCATGCTTCGGCTTTCTCAAGCCATCGACAACCTCGCACGCAACAATCGTCGTCCGGCCTCATCCGAAGATTCTAAAGTCAAGATCCGTGAGCCCGATACTTTCAATGGCACTGAGCCTCGGAAGCTTCGTGCATTCTTCGTCCAATGCGAGCTTCACTTCCAAAGCAAACCCAAAGCCTTCCATTCTGGACGGGCAAGAGTCAACTTCGCCCAATCCTACCTTAAGGGTATGGCACTCAAGTGGTTCGAACCGGATCTCCTAGCTGACGAGGATGATGATCGTCCGGATTGGATGGATGATTACTCCACGTTCATGCTTGAACTTCAGACCAATTTCGGACCGCACGATCCGTCCGGAGACGCGGAAATGCAATTGGAGCAACTTCATATGCGTGATGGACAACGCATTAATAAATATGTTGTTGAATTCCAGCGTCTTGCTTCACAAGTCCGTGGCTGGGGTGACGGTGCCCTAAAACGCCAATTTTATAATGGACTTCCGGCTTGTATCAAAGACGAAATCAGTCGCATGGGTAAACCTTCCACCCTTTCCGAATATAAGATCCTCGCCCAGACTATCGACGCTCAATACTGGGAACGGAAGGGAGAAGTTACTCACGAAACTAAACCCACCACCTCCATTCCTCCTAAACAAACCACGTCCGATCGGACGAGTTCCAACTCGTCCAGACCTTTGAGGTACAAATACGACAAACCTGCTACTTCCGCATCATCCTCCGTTTCTAAACCTCTGGACCTTACCTCCAAGTTAGGAAAGGACAGAAAGCTCACGTCCGAAGAACGTAAGAGACGGATGGATAATAAACTCTGTCTATTCTGCGGCGGACCCGGCCATTCGGCTCAGGAATGCACCAAGTCTACTTCACACACTGCCAAAGGCCGTGCTGCAGTAGTAACTCTGGAAGACAAACCGGAGGCTTCGGATGAAGCAAAAAAATAGTCCACAACCCTCCTGACTCCGCACGGGATGAGGGTTGCGTTGACTCTACCCGTGCAACGGAGCTACGTCTCAATGCTGTTTCTCTTTCCGATCCGAACTCTCTTTGTCCATACGTTTCTATTCCTACTTTTCCTGATATTTCTGATTTTCTTTCACTAATTGATTGTGGTTCCTCTCACTGTTTTATAGACTCTGATTTCGTCTGAAAAAATAAAATTCCTACATATCCGATATCTCCGCTTTCTCTTTGTTTGTTTGATGGTACTTGTAATAATATGATTTCCGAAGCTATAGATTTGCCTATCCGTTTTCCGTCCAGTGTAGTTACCTCTGATACGTTCTACATTACTCTGTTGGATTCTTCTTGTTTTATCGTTCTTGGATATAGCTGGCTCACCCTACACAATCCGTTGATTGACTGGGTTTCGGGCAGCATCTGTTACGCACTCAAATAGATCTGTTATGCGGAGCCCTAAGAGGGGCGTCGTCCGCTAATGTTCGTGACGTAACCAGAAGGGTCCGGTTAGGTCGACCTGTGAACTGTTGACTGCTGATTGTTGATGTTGACTTTGATCAAAATTTGATTTGCTGACAAAAAAAAGTCAAATTTTACTTTATTACCAATTTTGTTTACAGAGAAAAGCATATATTATTTTAACATTTGGTCAAACTTTTTTCCATCAACTAACATTGTCTTTTTCATCATATCTCAAAGAAACAAAAGTGTAGAAATAGGAGGAATGTAGGGTGTTATAAATTAAAAACTCTCTAGAATATGATCAGGATCATAGTGACATGTTGCTTGCATTCATAGGCAAAATTTTCTTAGCTTGATTCCAATGAAAAAAGAATAAAGAAAAATTAATCACAGTTGAAATTCACTCAAAATATAAGTTTGTGACATGTTGAAAATATGAACATTATGTGGCCCCACAGAAAAATAACAACAAAAACATATGACAGGGTAAATGTTATGTCTAATGAAAATGTGTAGATATGCTGAGCAGAATTTATATTTTAAAAAACAACTCAAACTGTTATAAACTAAGAAATATGCAGGCAAAACTTAAATTTTTGTTGACATTTTTTGCCAAAACAAAAGGTGACCTGAGTTTGTCTGAGATCACACTGGGTTCAACATTTGTCCCATGGGCAAATTGGTTCCTGCCCCCAGTGTTGAGAGCTCATGATATCTGATGAGCTGATGCACTGATGAACTGATTGATAACTGATAACGTCGACGTTCAACACATGGCCGGCAATGGCCGAAAGTTGAACCATGACCAAACAAACACAAACAATCAACGAATTCTCAACATTGTCCTTCAATTGTATTGTTTCTTTGAAACTTCATTCTATTGATAACAGATTTCACCCTGCTTTCAACATTCTCACATCTGTCAACTCCATCCAAATGTCTACTCAAGTTCAATCTTCATTGGCCAACCTCAAGGCATCCACAGCTCAACTTGTGGGCATCATTGCCGGCGCCTGGCACATCCCGGCCGGCTCAGTGGACGTCCACCTTGTTCTAACAAAGCAGGTGACCACTCTTTTGGTATGTTGAACTCATTAAATTAGTGTAACATTAATGTTTGTAATGTCCGGGTAGGCTGACATCATCCAGGCCCATGAGAAAGGGGAATACATCCCTGGAATTGTGGCATCCTGCTCTAAGGAGCTGATGAGGGTGCGTTCCATGACTCCCCGGGCATTGCCCAACTGGCACAGCATTGGCCATGATGACCCCCAGGTGGCTAGACACGCCTGGCGCAAGCAAGTCCGTGCCTGGGAGGCATTGGGTGACAATTCCTGTGTCCCTAACGTTTCCACTGGCCCAATCACTCTCAACCTTCCGTCTCCACCTGTCCCTTCACCTGCACTTGTCCCTTCCCCCACCCCTGTCATTCCCTCACCTCTGGTCGTCGCCGGACCTTCTGGCAAGACGACCCCCAAGGTCCGGGACAAAGGAAAAGGTAAGGCCACCTCCGTCGACCTGTCGCCGGAAGTTGGGGGGAGCAACAAGAGGAAGTCTCCAATGATTTCGGGACACTCCTCCCAACCTCCAAAGTCGGCGCTGAAGGCTCGCAAGCGTGTCAAGTCAACTCAACTCCCCAAGTCGAAGCTGTTTGTGGAGTCGGAAGATGATGAGGACCCAATTGTTCAGGTATGTGTTCTGGCTGATTTCTGACATGCTCTCAATTTGTTGCAGCCGATTTCGTGTGGAGTGCCGGAGGTCGTCCTTCCCCAGCGCACCATTGTGGTAAGGAAGCCCCAGTCGCCTCGGTCACCCGGTTCCCCCAAGAAGCAATCATTTGGGCCTGCTTCGGTAAGTTTGCATTTTTCGTTTGGACTTTAAATATATGCTCATGTGTCCACAGCTGACTGCCGGCAGTCGTCCGGAGGTTATGGTGAGTCGTTTGGACATGTCCGGACCTCCCATGTATAATTCCCACTCATTCCCATTACATTAGAAATCTCCCATCAGTCGTCCGGAGGCTCGGGTAAGTCCTAGAAGTTTTCCAGAAACTCATGTGTATTAACAATCTGTCAGGCAACCTCCGGCAGGCGTCCGGAAGTTGAGGAGGAGTCCAATGATACTTCCAGTGCTTCAGATGGTGACCCGCCGGTCACTACCACATTTGATATCACCATTCCCGGCCCAGTGAGTACTCAAATATATTCCCTCTAGTCCATCTACTAACAGATACTACAGAACAACCCCTGCCATTATTGTGTCAAGGAAAATTGGCCCTGTGCGACTCGATTGGACAAGAGGTCCAGCCTCCCCTGCTTGTCTTGCATCCGCTGCTCCACCAAGAAGATCAAATGCAACCCTGCATCTCTGGGATCCCCGCCCAAACGGACCCGAGGGAAGTCTACCACCGGCCAGATGCGTTCCAAGACACCTGCCCCTGCTCCATCCAATGCTCCATCTCCCTCCCGGTCAAGGGCCCGAACTCGTAGTCAATCTCGTGGCCCTTCCCGAACTCCAGCCATCCCTGCTGCAACTACACCCCAGGTGCAGTCACATGGTCGCAGCAAGACCATCACTACCAAGAAGACACCTGCACCTGCACCTGCACCTGCACCTGTCCCTGCACCTGCGCCAGCTGGTAAGTCACCCATACTTTTGATGACCGGCTGACCTAATTTTTTACTTAGCAGTCAGGTCTTCCAGCGTCGCAGTGCCTCGTGCAGCACTCAATGTTCCCATGCCGGATCTCCATTCCATGGCAATCACGATTCGGGATGGTGCAGCTCGCATCGCTATTCTTGAGGCTCGGGTGCAGGAGCAGGACGCTAAGATTGATACCCTGCAACGCCTCCATGAGAGCCTCCGGCACACAGTGGTCGACCGGCACCCTTCATTTTCACTTCCGGACACACCAGCCGATGGAATAATGTTGCTTGGTCAAGGAGGTCCCCCCCCGTCCATGTCACCCCTCCCCTCCGCACTTTCCAACCTCATTGATTTGGACTTTTCAGTCATGCAACCTACACCCTTGACGCCTGAGCATGAATCTGCTGTGGTAGGTCCCATGGTTGAGCCCACCCAAGTTCAGCCTGAGGGTCCACAATCCTCTGGCGAAATTGATCTCCCTGATGAACCAGGCAACCTCCTGCCAGAATCGCCCGGCGATATTGTGGTCCCTAATGAACCAGGTAACCTCCTGCCAGAATATGATTCTTCTGATGAGGAGATGGATGTTGAGGGAAAGGTTGATCTTCCTGGTGAGGAGGTTGACATGGCTACATAATTGCTCAGTGATAGATGTACATAAATGTTTTTCCATGCATGTTACCTATGCCACAATTGAATCATTCAATGATCACTCCCGATATCCAGAACTCGAAACTGCAGATTGAGGTAGATATCACCCGAAACCCGAACACCCGAATGTCAAATTATTAGTGCCGAACCCTGAGTCCCGGGTGCCGGGTACCGAGTCCTGACACCCGGAACTCAGGATTTGACATTTTAGACAAACAACATCTTCCAGACATGTTTAAATCAACCTATGTATATCTGTAAACATTTTACTAACCCCCAAACCCCAAACTGAGATGTACCAACCCCCGAACCCCGAAACCCAAGAGTGCCGGGTCTCGGGTCTCGGGTGTCCGGAACTCGGAACTTGGGAGAATTTGGGGAGATCAATACAATTTAATTTACAATCGAGTTGATTGACAACACATTGACTTACCCATGTTTTGCAATATATTTTTGCTTAGACATACCGAGTTCCGAGTTCCGAGTTCCGAGTTCCGGACACCGGAGACCCGAGACCTGAGACTGCCGGGTCTCGGGTGTCTGGAACTCGGAACTGGGGAAAATTTGGGGAGATCAATACAATTTGATTCACAATCAAGTTGATTGACAACACATTGAATTAACTATGTTTGCAATATATTTTTGTTTAGACATACCAAGTTCCGAGACCCGAGACTGCCGGGTCTCGGGTCTCGGGTGTCCGGAACTCGGAACTCGGTATGTCTAAAAAATATATATATTGCAAACATAGTTAATTCAATGTGTTGTCAATCAACTTGATTGTGAATCAAATTGTATTGATCTCCCCAAATTTTCCCCAGTTCCGAGTTCCGGACACCCGAGACCCGGCAGTCTCGGGTCTCCAGTGTCCGGAACTCGGAACTCGGTATGTCTAAGCAAAAATATATTGCAAAACATGGGTAAGTCAATGTGTTGTCAATCAACTCGATTGTAAATTAAATTGTATTGATCTCCCCAAATTCTCCCAAGTTCCGAGTTCCGGACACCCGAGACCCGAGACCCGGCACTCTTGGGTTTCGGGGTTCGGGGGTTGGTACATCTCAGTTTGGGGTTTGGCACTGAAAATTTGACATATATATTTTTGTGAGTGTTGTGCTTCTGGTGTCCATGCTTAGAAATAGGATTTGTTGCACACCAGGGTTCAGGTGTGGGGTTTTTCCACTTCAGTCCTGGATTATTGGTCAATGCCACACATGATAGATTCATGTTTTTGTGCTTAGGGGTTTAGATTTGGTGGTTGATGGTAGGTATATGCACTGATAGTGTACATGTATCCTATGTGTTTGATTCGCTGGTGGCTACATCAGCTGTATGTCTTGATGGAACATATCTAGGCTCACCCATATATGTAATACACCCCCGTCGGCCTGCCCGTCTATGTATTATCCCCCACGTCGGCCGACCCGTCTATGTGATACATCCTATGTTGGCCCACCCGTCTATATAATACATCCTACATCGGCCCACCCGTCTATATAATTATACCCCACCTCGGCCCACCTGTCTATGTAATAAATATTTTATAGCACCCTCGGCCCACCGGTCTATTTGATATCTCTTTCGTCGGCCCACCCGTATATGTAATACATTCCACGTCGGCCCACCTGTATATGTAATACACCCTACGTCAGCCCACCCGTCTATGTAATATTCCCCTACCTCGGCCCACCCATATATGTAATACACCCACGTCGGCCCGCCCGTCTATATAACAATATTTGCCTTACATCTCTCTTCAGCCCAGCTGTCTATAATATCCTACTCTACATATTACCCAGATGGGCCCACCCATCTCCATGAATGATCATATTCCCCCAGCCCATCCGTCAACATTAAGGATATATATATCATTGGCATACATGGGCCCACCCGTCTCCATCGGAAATAATATGAGTCCCGGCCCATCTGTCATCATCGAGAATATACACAACATGGGCCCATGATCAGCTGGCCCGTCTCATACGGGATATTATGGAGGTCGGGTGGCCCGTATAATACGGAATTTGTCACTGAAGGGGCTCCATCATGATGTGTTAGCTGCGGTCCAATTGTTATCTATTGAGATCCTCTCCTCTCCCAGGGTTTGCTTCCATGTCACTCACAAATCAAACAGTAAGTTTCAATCTCCGCATATGCCAAATTTGGCAATCACTGATATTGGTTCCTGCCCGATGTGAATATCATTCCCACAACAGCAGGGAAAGAACTAAGACCCAAGGTCTTTGAAAGTCCGAATGGTTTATTTATCCCTTCTGGTAAACTCCCCAGACAACACCCACCTTCCGAGTTTACTGAAATATGAATGAATACGCTCCTCGTCCATACGAAACATTGTGTATCACACCAGTGCCTACATCACCTCAATGTCCTTCTTACGGTCCCAGCAATGTTGGTCATAGTCTAAGTCCTGCTCCAAATTCTCCCTTGTCCTCAAGAGGTATGATCATTCATAACATGGTGTAAATGTATTTATATATTAGTCACAGCGATGAGTACAGTCTCAGAGACAGATCCTGAGGATAGCTTCCCTTCGACCCCTGATTCTAAGCATTCAGGCGGCGCATGCTACCCTTTCCTTGGCACCTCTCGTGGAGCTGAATCACATCAAGTGAAGCATCACAGCAACAGCAAACATCATTTTTTTTCATCCTTACCGCCAGCTGCCCTGCTTCCAAGACATTCATACTTTTGATAGCCAACTAGGCAGACCACAGGCTGATCACAACAATCAATTGGGAGCTCCAGACAGCACGGTAGGCACCTCAGATTTTAAATCATACATAACTCATTATATGCATATAATTCCTAGACTAATGATGTATTCTTAAAATATATGGATGGGCTTAGCCCTGCATCGTGCCGCTATGTTGTTCATTACAAGGAAGCTGTTCGTGAACGCCAACACATGCGCCTCTTCACAACATACTGGGAGCTCGAGGAAACGAATAGGCTGCGCACTCTCCTTACATCTCTTTATGCCGAAACAGACTTGGAGTTCTGCAGAACAGAGCGAGAAACACAAGTGCTATTGAAAGCACTTGTTACGAAGCAGATACTTTCTCAGACTGCGGCAGATGTCAATTATCTCACTGCAATGCATCAATGCAACAAGATGTCTCTTCAGGAGACTGATGCTCAACTTGATCTTTTACAAGATCATCCCAAGCACTTGTTCCCCAACTTGGGCGATACATCAAGTTGTGCTGCAAACGCCCTAGTTGATGTCTAGTTTGGTTTCATAGAGTAATGATATTTTGCAATGACGTACCTCCTGGCAGAGCATTCAAATCAAGACACTTGCCCATTTACACTTACACTATGTACTTCTCCCCAGCATCAAGTTCGTGTCTCGCTTACGTGTCCTGTTGTCAATGTTCTTTTACATCTATGAAATTAGTATACTTATTATGTCTCAAAAGCCACCATGGGTTCAAAAGGATTACAACAGACTTGCAGCAAGGATGACATTAATATTTAATGATGGCACTTGCTTCGCAAGATGCGGCTCACTGACAAGCCAGTGAAAGTATTGGTTTAGAACTCTGCTATGGCAGTGTTCGGCTGGCTGTCACTCAGCGTGACTGTCAGCTTTCAATGAACTTCACCATTTCTTCACAAAAATTGCTCGTTCAACCTCGCAATAAAAGGTGCGATGATAGCGACAATGATTTAAGTTGTAACTTGTGTGTGGAACTAAAAATTGAATATTCAAGTTGTGATGCGTAACAACTTGTGGGGGGTGACGACTCGCATGATGCGATCGCCGGAGTGGATTCTGCGATTACCAAGCGACGAGTAGTGTACATATTTGAATTATGTTGGGAGTAGTAAGGGAAAAATGTTGCAAACTGGGTCAGCACACTCGAGCCTTAGTTGCCGTTGTTGTCGACTAATTGGGGTTTAGAAAAAAAGGGTGCGAAGGGTTATTACTACAATGCTGCACTTCTTGAAACACGGTCTCAACCGGCATCAATCAGCAGATCAGCAACTTTAACACATGTGGCCTGTATGTGGCTTTCCAACATTGAACATTGAACTTTGTTCCATAGTTCATACCTTGCATCGCTCCTATTAGAAGCATATGTCTGAATGCCTTATTTGGTTTGTGAATATAATTGTCGGTAACATTAAGTCTTATGACCTTATTTGGAAATTGATTAGTGACAACTGATGTATATACTCCCCGAACACTATCCTTCGCTCAAAGATCGAGTGGTCTGTTCTGCTCCCAATCACCCTATCGGATTCCAGGCGCATGCCTCATGTAACTTGCTGCATATGATTTTACGTGTGTCAAGAATTGATGCCTTTCCTATCGTAGCTGCATCGCATCCGAGTCGCTGGTGGTACTAGTAAGTCACTCAAAATTGGCTCACGCCGTTTTAATTCGACTCATTTTCTAACCACTTGGTTATGGAGGCATTTACTAGCACTGGCCAACCGCTGGCTGGCAATACATACCCTAATCATGATGACTCTGACTCAGACATGCTGAAAAATGCAGGATTCGACCCTACCATAACGCTGTTGCAACCTGGCCATTCCTCATCACAGCACGCGCACCGTCACCAGCACGCAGCCGCTGTTCAGCCGCATACGTCTGGTTCTGCTCCTCAGCCGAGTCATCTGCTCCCCCCTGCTGATGTCCTGAACTATCATGACCATGATGATGCCAATTCTCAATACTGCTATGATCCATCCACCAATCCATACTTGCAGGGAATGCTAGCGATGCCGACGCCATCACCGTGGAACATTCCAAGCTACCCTCAGGTCCATGCACCCCCATCCCTCTTTCACAATCAACTGCTGCCTGCCGACCCGCAGTTCTATGAAGATTTTTATTTATCATCTGCAGGCAATCTTGTGCTTGATGCCGATATATCATCTGTGCCACAGTTACCTCCGAACCACAGAATTGCTCTCAATATTCCATATCCTTCCTCCGATCCCATACATGATATGTTCTACCTAGAGGCTCCCGTGTATATGTCCCCTCTAGATGCAAATAACTCAGTGTCTCAGATGCATGACAATATCGTGAACATTGAACCTACTTGAATCACACCTTCCAATATCATCTCTGTCGCACCACACTATCCTCCAATAAACCTCAATGCCTTCATCCCAGAATTCACTCAACCGGTCCTTTCTAAGGACAAGGACATGTTGTTGCCACCGAATGTCGATGACGAGCCTATGTGAGGCTCCTTCGAGGATGCGGCAATGCCAAAAGAAGACGCAACCTTCCATTTCTATGAGGGACCGAATGACTGATGAGGAAGGAGGGGAAATGTAAGTGATTCCTGCTTTCAAATACCTATTCACTGACAAAGTTCTAGCATGGGGCCAGATATATGGCACAACCTCATCTTATATACGACGATAAGAACAAGATCCACAAAAACATCGTAAGGGCTGCAAAGATAGAAATTGCAAAACATGCTGTCAATGTCAATTCATTGTTGGATGAGGCAGACAGACTCGAGTTAGTTGAGAGTAAGCTGACACAAGCAGCCAAAAAATATATGAAGAGTAAGCATCGCCTCTTTCTTGACTGACGTCTCGTTTATGCGTTGATAGCGCAAGGATCCCAATGGGCGGTGCACAATACGGGGACATTATATGTCACTTTGTCATAAACATGCAGAAGCATCATGCAGTGCTGCAGGAAACATGCCTCCAATCTCGTCGTGGATGGTTTCAATCTACGTCTTTCTATATGGTCTGAAGCTTCCAAACGTGAGCACCAGGAAACTATTATTGCATACCTCCTCGACGATCAGATTTTCCCCCCAAATTTTGTCATGAAACTGGGCACAGACGGCCTCTGGCATTTCCTTGAAAACGAGGTTGTGTTGAACGTCATTTTAGAGACTGTTCAGGAGCTCGATCTCTTCCGAATCCTGGACAATCTCAATAGTCTTGCTTGTGCTGCTGCTGCTGCAGTTTGCTTTGGTTTGGAGAGGGTCAGGGGCAGAGTATCCCCTGATGTCGAATTTTTGGGAGCAGCTTTCAAAGATTTGTACATGAGACTAATGGATTACATTAAGGAGACGATCAAGAAGTGCCCTATTTTGTGGAAGCGATGGGAGGACTACAAAAGGGCTATTATGGCTAGATTGGATCAGTGATTGCTGTCTTTGACCTTCGACTTTGACTTCTGTATTTGTACTCATATGTATCAAGATACTTCACACGCATGTTACTCAGTACCGTACTACATGACCGATGTTCAATATCTTACTCATTCTCGAACCCGATTACACATCTACATCAACCTTGGCCTCAGGTATGTATCTAGAGTGTAGACACGGTGCATGACTTTTTAAATCAAATCACTCCCATCTCTCTGACCCTTCCTGTGAACGGGAATACAAACGATAGATTTTACTGCACATATCCTATCCTGCTTTTTCCTGCCTAGCAGTCGAATGAACACTGCATCGAGGGGGAAGATAACAGCAAGGATCTGGATGATACCGTTTAGTGACCTGGTTCTATTCAAAATCCTCACACTTTTGTAACAATCAGTATTGCCCCGCCCAGCGTATCAACATCCAACACCACAGACGCACTGAAAGGTCAAAACTAGAAGCAGCGCAAAACAGGTACTTACATCAATCACCAGCGTCTCTATCATCTCATCCAAAATCCTAATATCATCTTGCATGTTGACTGCAACATGGGACGCTGCATGGATCAACATCATCAGATCTCGTTCTGACAAGCAAGAAAAGACGAGGAGGAAGAGGAGAAACACTCACTCCAACTGGGTGATCCTCCTCCAAGCCCAACAAACAACCACCAGATCGATCTCTCCCCTAGCATCACCCATCCTTCCTGCCTGATGCACGACCATGAGCTTCTTGGTTCTACACATGCTCTTTACGACAGGTTCTATGACCAATGGCGATATCAATCGGGGATCGGTTTGATGCTGGTGCTGCATAAGGAGGGATGAGTGGCTGGTAGGGAGTCGAGGAGATGGAGGGTAGATTAGGGTGACCCATGTGAGGAGGGTGATGTCGGATGGATAGAGAGGAGGTGTATTTGATGAGGACTTGTTTGACTGTAGGGATGTGAATACACACAACAGTTTGGAAAAGAAAAGAGTGTGAGTTTTTACTGTGGGATTGATATGACAGGACGGGACAGACCTTGAGACGAGATACGGGGAACATTTACCCTGCAAGCTGTATGTCATGGACGCGAAGGCAATTCCAAAGCCTGCAAGAAGTCCATTGCTAGCACAGCTTCAAAGGACTTGAGTTGCGAATCTATATCCTTCTACCGTGTTTCCACCAGTTCACTGATGAATGCTATAGGAACAGGCACGGACCGTCGGACATTCAAGACGTCTGAATTTGGGGGACGAAATAATAAGTGGTCCACGTGATGCGCAAGCACAAAGTCTTCAACGCGCTGTGACAGTATTAATCTGAGCTGGGCAATGCGTACAGGCAAAGGTACTGATTTCTAGGTGCGAGCTGGAATAATATTGTGGTTGGAGATTCAAAAGATGTAATATTATCTATGTGAACCCTTGATCGGGCCTGGGACGTTATGCCCCGGTATTTGCACCAAAGCATCGATCGGTGAGGTTTCTTGACAGCCTTTCACCTGCTTTGGCTTCGAGATGACATGCTATTAATAATTAAGTCTACCAATTGATAACGGATGTTCAAACATGTAGACACAAGTCCATCCTATTTGCTACCCGCCACGCCTCCTACTTCCATCTTTCCCACTTACTAGATGGATGAAAACAATCCTCGTCGCAAGAACCAATGGAGGCAGCTCAAGACCAGTCATTCAGACCCTTATTTGGTACAGGAGAGAGGCGGGAGGACAGCCAGTCACAATGTATGAACTTTCATCTTAGCAACTACATCATCTCTAATTTCTATAGACATCTCCTCTCTCACCTTCGAGGAATGGATCTCGTGCACGACACCCGGGCCCAGTTTGAAAGCTCTTTGGCAAAGTGGTCAAGCGCTCGACAATCCCCAAACCCTGAACGCACGGCTGCAAGTTCCAGCTTACAGGACACACAACGTGTTCAGTCAAACAAGGCAAGCGTAATCTCAACATGTGTCCCGTGTGCTATGATCAGTGCTAATCGCTTCTGCAGGATCTCACCCCTCCCACTCTCGAACCAGATTTTGGGCAGCCTTCCGATTCAAGGATCGTAGAAGGAAGTTCTACTAAGGAAGTTTGGAATATTCTCATCTGTCTCTTTCGACAATGTGCTAACATCTATACTTAGGCCGAACATCTTGACCAGAAATCTGTGAATGAGAGAATTGCCCATGCTAACAAAGGTCTCATAGGCATCAGCCAGGTCCCGATGATGGTTCAAGATGCTTCTTCTGCTACCAAAAACGTACCATCTGTTTCTGATGCAATCAATTTGTTCTCCGGGTTCCTTGAACCCTTGAAGGCATTCAAAAAAATCGCCAACACAATCGCAGATGTACAGTCATCTATCTCTTTTTGGTACACGACTAACATTCGTGCGCAGGTCCAGCCCTACGTGAAGGTGGCGCTGAGCATCTTCACTTGCGCATCCAAGGTAGGACTCTCTCTCAATCATTGCCATTGCAGGTTGACAAAGTCTCAGCAACAGATGATTCTAAATCAGGCACACCGTGATGACGCTGTTTCCCGTCTGCTCTCAAAGATATCTGAAGTCTATACTTTCATCACGGAGAAGGAGGAATTGGCCAAGATTGAATCTATGCTATCAATATACGTGAAGATAGCACAGCAGACACTGGTGTGCGCTGATTTCATCAGCCATTATGCTGAGATGAAGAGTGCCTGTGAGTCGATCCCACTACTTTATTCACCAAACTCAATGTTGCCTGTTCATATAGGGATAAGACTTGGCAATCACATTCTCGGCAAAAACGGACAGCACGATCCAGAACTACAACAGTGTCCTCGACAGTCTCATGCAGCAATTCCGAGACCAGGCAGTTCATGATACTGTTGTGATCGTCCACCATATGGGTATGAGTTGGTTTCCAGGTCTCTTTAAGCCTCGTCTGACATTCTACGATCCCCGTAGCTGAGAGTTTGGACCTCATAGGCATGGAGTACGCAAAAGGCGCAGGATTAAATACGTCCAAATGTTGTTTGCCAAATACTCGGCAAGACCTTCTGAAGGAGATTCAGGACTGGATTAGCAGCACCGAGGAGGGTGCTCCACGGATCTTGTGGTTATCTGGTACAGCAGGGAAGGGTAAATCGGCTGTTGCCCATACGATAGCCAAGTGGTACATCGAACGCGGCGGTCTTTGCTCATTCTTCCGCTTCGATCGTACAACGTGCAAATCTAAGCTGCACCGGTCTTTCTGACTCACAGACAGCACTGATCTGTACAACATTTGGTGCTGGCTGCTGTGAGTCCTAGTCATCAACAACCAGCTCGCCGTGTCCCAAATGATGTCCACCAAACGCCACGTGCTTACCATTTTGATGTTCTTAGTAACGTCTCTCACCGCCAGCTTGCATGCGTGGCTTCTCTGGCTGAGTCCCTGGGCAAGCACAGCTTCAAAGGACTCGTGGACTTCAGCCTGTCGCAGTCAAGCTGCAGTAAGTCATTTTCTCGCAGTATTTGATATACAGTTGATGTGTTATTGCAGATTTGACCTTTTGAAGATGTGGGCGCAGACGAACACAAGTTAAACACATCTTCGGCTTCCTTTTTTGGGTGGTCGCTTACCAAATATTGTGTGACTCAGCTAGGTCCTATGTGCGCCACACCTATAGTTAAACTGCCCTTTGATCTCCTTTGTCTCGCTCTGCAGCTACGCAGTCATCGTTCCTTACCTAAACAAGTTCGTGCTCGCATATTGATATCTCTACATCTAATTGAGACTTATTGTGTCTCCCACAGTTGAGTCTGGCGATGGTCCACACATTCCTCGTCGTCCTTGACACCGAGTTGTACCGTGTTACAACTTCCGATAACGCTCGGATCCAGGATGCCTTCGCGTACCTCAAATCTGAATCGGCTGATGCACATCGTATCTTGGGTAGAATCTCATTTGATCAATGCGACTACTACCAGCTCAAAATCCCGTGCACCTTCCTGATCAGCTCACTCATTCCCAGTAGTCGAGGGTGATGCTGACGAGGAGCCTCAAGATGATCTCAGCGTCTTTGGTACGGATGGTATCCAAGTTATTCTGAAAAAGATGAATTACAAGATCAACTTAATCCCTGCTGGGGTACGTGTCATCATAACGTCTGGGAATGTGATACTGATGCGTTAGAAACTTCTTGTAGTATCCACTGATAGCTTGCGTGTCGAACAATACTAGTACTCACGAGTCCGAGAAGGGATACCTGAAGTTCATGAAAGAAGGGGGGAAGGAAATTGAAATCTTGCAATACCTCACAGGAATCGATTCCCCTGCAAATCATACCATCTCTGGAGTACAAATTTGGCCTGTGCGCGGCGGCAATGTCATATCGATGCCGGTGGCTGGCGGCTGGCTCACGTCGCTAACAAAACCCAGTGCACACCTGTGGTCTGTCGCTAAACAGCTGTTCAAAGCGGTCGACTTCATGCACCAACACGGCGTGGCGCACATGGATCTGAAGCCGAATAACATCTTGATCCCCGTTAACGGCGGCCGTCTGACTGTCATCGACTTCAACAGGTCCTTGCGAGTCAAGGGTGTCGAACATAGGTTCCGTGGTGTCATGGGCACTCCCGAATATATCGCCCCCAAGGTAGCCCTCCATTCTGCAGCAGAGTTACCATATTAGGCAACTCCACGCACGATACTTTCGGCACACTCGTTCTTCGTTTTCCCCCAGTCTCTTACATTCGACTGGGGGGTAAGTCATATTTCAGTATACCTACTACGTTTCTTACTGATATACTATAGAACTCACTAGAGTTCGTTCTTTCTAGGTACATCATACAGTCTCTTACATTCGACTGGGGAACTGACTAGAGTTCGTTCTATCTAGCCTAGCACTCGTCTTCTATATATAAGCTGCTCACAGTACGTATCAGGTGGCATCGAGTCGCAACTGAAGGTTCTGCTAGTGTAGGTCAGTCACGCTAGGCCGATATGTCATTAAATGTTCCTTAGTTGATGGCCCAAGGTTTTCTGCCATAGATGCATCTCGTCCTCTATTATCAACAATAGCAATCTCCGTTGTATGTATGTCAAACATATTTTCCTGAAAAGGCATCATATTGACGTTATCATTTAGCGATTTCCTAAATAGGTTTATGCATTTATAGGCTAGCCGCACGAGCTGGGATCCCCAACCAGTATATAAGGTGAGCTGGCATTGAACCAAGCTCATCTCGCACCTTTCCCTTCTTCGACACACTCTCTTCTAATTCTCTTTATCTTTCATCTCCATGGCGCATGTCGAGCACGTTGAGGGCGAAGGCAGCATGGCACAAGTGAACTTGGAGGACCAGCAGGACCAGTCCAGTGAAGAGCTCACAGCGGCAGTGGCAGCATCTCTACAGGCTCGACAGAGGCACAGAATTGTGCAATTGGAAGAAAGGTTAGAGGTTCTCGAGGTGGGGCGTGCAGCTAAAGAAAGGTATAGTCACTTATTCCACTCGTGAAGCTTTACTTATCATTGGTCAGGCAATCGAACCATTATATGGCTCAAGGGAGGGCGATCCGGCGTATTGTCTCTTTGTTTGACAATGTTGAGGATCTCGTCACCGAGAATGACCGAAGATACGACCTGACCGGTGATGAAGAAGTCAATGTAGAGTAATTCGTTCTCCCTTCAAGTCAGTTTGTGAGTGCTAAACATGCGCTTGTTTATATAGTCAAGACCGACTGCAGGTAGGGTACGTCACCCTCACCCATACCCTGCCATGGTTCCATAAAAAGGCCGTAGAGATGGAGTATGACGAGTATGTGTACATGATGAAAATGGTTGGTTTTATATGTGTCGATGATAGGCATTGTCATATTCCTGATTTTTCTTTAGCTTCGGCAGGGGGCTGATGGCGCCTGAGGTGACGACACCTCAAAACTCAAGGCACTCATTTCCGAATGGGTAAACCGAGAGTTCAAGCCAGAACACCCTGTCGACCCAGACAATAAGCATTCACATGGATTCATCAACGATGCATGTGGTAGGTTGCTCTGCCTGGCCAAAATTGACTGGAACAACCCAATGTAAGTAGTGTGCTCGGAATACTACAAAAGATACTTATTGTTCAGCAGCGCAAGGGCAGGAATTCGGGATCGCACGGATGGCTATATTGTGACGGATCTGTCCTTCCCAGCATTTCTATATGATAAGTACACCGCCAATCCGGATGATCTGGAGGAGGGGCTTTTTAAAGGCAAAATTCTTCTTCAGGTTTGTTGCACCCAAGTAACCTGACAGTGATCTCACAAGTTTTGGCAGGGTTACAAAGCTGTATTTACGTCGCCTCCTCAGCTAAGGACATCGAGGGCGATGGTGACGGGGCCGATGTCATCCAAAACAACATACTCGCTAAGAAATCCGCTGCTGGTGTCAAAGTCAAGAAACACGTAATGCAGATCATCAAGATGAGAAAAGTCACTCCTCAGTCTATCGCCTACATTGTATGCCAAGTAAATTCATTTGGCGAGGTTAGTGATACAGATGATGACCAAATTTTTTCAGGTTCGATTTGCACTCTCTTCTGTCACCTTGTAGCGGTCCGTTGATGGGGATTTTGATTACATTCAGTTTTGGCGGACTATCATGGACTTCTTCGAATGTCCCCCTGGTCAAGAAGCACGTTGTAGGGTCGACAGACTCCTGGGGTGGTGGACGAGGTGTGTTATGTAGCGCTCCCGCTGTCCCAATAAACCTCACGTGTCCTCTGTTCAGGAAAGTGTTTGGAAGGAACTACCGCGAAGACCTTAGTAGTACAGCAAAGGAAAATATGTCTGTTAATGCCCTCGCAAGGCAGAGGGCACAGCGTGACGACCTCAGTTTTGATTCACCATGAACTCTGTCACTCGCTTACAATTGTAGTGTCCCACATACTATTATTCTGCTATCAATATCATAATAATTGTTTTTCTGTGGAATGAATGCATGGAACATCATGAATAATCTGCAGAGCAGTCTGGGCACAGATGCGCCTGTGTAGTACGTTCGGATCTAGAACATATAGCGTGACCATCCCTATGTCTGTATTGTTGAGTATTCCCGCTAATCTCACAATTATAGCACGAGATCGCAGATGCGTCTGCGTACGTTCGGTGGGCTGGATCTAAAACATATAGTGTGACCATTCCTATGTCTGTATTGTTGAGTATTCCCGCTAATCTCACAATTATAGCATGAGATCACAGATGCGTCTGCGTACGTTCGGTGGGCTGGATCTAGCACATACAGCGTGATCATTCCTATGTCTGTATTGTTATGTATTCATGCTAATATCACAATTCTAACACCAAATCGCAGATGCGCCTGCATACGTTTGATAAGCTGGATCCAAGACCTACAGCATGACCATGAGGGTCTCTGTTTTTTATGGTCTCACATTAATTACAACACAGAACATAGTGGTCTGTGAGATGAACACTGGGAGGCTGTCAAACAGAATGCGTGATACCGAAGTGAGGCATTACCCTCAGCTGCGAAGTTTTCTTCTAAAGTACTATGTAGAATTCACGATGTCCGTGCATGGCTGCAACTTCTTTGGATGCAGTCACAACTGGTATACCGATGCTAGCCATTATTCTCCCAAACTAGATTGCCTAAATACTCGAGGTATCATATCAATCAATTGTTTCCTACTTGATCAACATATGCTGTGCTACTGCAAAATGGTACAGAATGTTCGAACATATTCCCAACCAATGTATACTATGCAATCATTAGATATTTAAGGAGGATGTCGTTAATAGCTGCAGCGGGACACAAACTGAGACTCGCTCACTCGATGAACACATCTTCGTTGCCTGGAAGATACAAACCTTTGTTCTTACATGAAAAAATCTTCAACAGCTGAAGAAAACCAGCCATTTCAGGCAGGTGGTGTGTATAGCTGTAGCAATGAACACACGCGGCAGCTGCACAAGGGTAACACTTTTTCGCATGGATTCCCAACTGATATATGGTAGACCAAACTTAAATATCTAAAGAAGGTGGAATCAAAATATTAAGGAGAACACAAGTTCATTGTTGGTCGCATGATGAATATAAAGTCACTCTCTGGAAGGTGCCTGCCATCAGTGTTACATCGACAGTTGTCCTATGATTTACGAACATCAAGCTTTTCAAAGAGATGGCGTCAAAATTCAAAGCGGGGTACAAATTTATTGTCGCTCACTTGGTGAACGCATTGTTGTTCTTCAGAAGGTGCTCGTGTTCCCACTTAACTTTCAAGTTATGAGTATTTCTTCTAACATGGCAGTTGTGGTTCGCTCGGCTCGACCATGATATTTGCAGAAAATTAATGTATCATCGTTGATCGGTAAATACATTGTTGTTTTTTGGACAGGGCTTGCTTTTATGCCTAGTTTCGACATTGTGGCCCATGATTCCAAGATGGCAGTTGGAATCCATCTTGCTTGTTCATCGGCATTCACTCCACCTGCCCTCAAAGTTTGAGTTTGAGCAATGCAAGGGTCTTTTCCCGATCACGAGCTGGTTTAGGGACATCAGAAACACCTCTTTCCTCTACAAGGTCAAACATGATAATGTGATGGTCGATAGCAGAATTATGTCAATGCTTGTGATTATGGACTATCTATTACTATATATGTCTTTCTAATTTGTTCACCAGTTCTCTGATGGTACATGATGAGATGAATATTGCCCTGTCACATCAGAGTTCGAAAGAGCCTCTTCAGGACATCAGGAAAACCCTCCGCTACAAATTTAGGCTAAGTATGTAAAACTTTCCCTAATTTATGATAATTTCAATAAATTAGACAACTTAGCGGTTTAGAGAGACTTTTTTACTGCCCCACAAGGAATTCGTTATGCATGATAAATTAGTGATAATTATGTTCAACATCATGCAAACTTACAACCAAGAATGCTTGCAATTGACTATCGGTACGAACACTTATGCAGGAATTTGAGTTGTACAAGAACAAATTAGAGTTTGATTAAACAGGGGTATACAAACATATTTATAGTATGAGAAGGGAGCATATTTATAGTGATACCAATAAACGAATTGTAAAGGTAAACAATGCAAGACCATGACTAGGACGTCCAGAACTACTCGTCGTCATCCATGCCATCAAGGTCAAGGAAAGCCATAGCATCTTTGTGTGACACTATGGCAGCGGCGCCATTAGAGCAGAGTTTCCTTTTGAGATGAATTAGTCAATGCAGCACATTCACAGCACAATGAACTTACTGGACAGCCAAGAAAATGTCAGCCATCAACTTGTGAAACTTGCTCGGCGCATTCTCCTCCATTTTGTTGAGAAAGTTTACATGGAAAGTATAGACCTCGCTGAACTGGTTGCCCGTGAAATTGAACTTGGAGGGAGATTTGTTGGACTTCCACAAGAGCGCAGCATACACCTAGTAGTACACGCTCGTTAATACATGGACCAAGAGTAGATCAAGAACAAAAATGTACCAAAGTGCTGGTCAAAGCAACCATCGGAATTGTTACCTCAGGCCATTGGGCCTTGTTTCCTGCAATCTCCTTAAAACAGTCTGCGAATTTCACGCCAACTGACTTGGACCCATTGAAGTAATGTCCCTTCATTAGGTATTTTGTCACCTGCAGAACGGGGTTTTTTTCCTCCTGAAGTGCATCCACATGCAATGCTGAGAAAATCATATACAAAATAGAATATAAAACCTACATCAAAACGCTGCGCATAATGGTAAGTGTGGCTCGCCAGCAGAGCCTTAGCAGCATCAACACAATCAGGACCAAGATGGTAATACACCGTGACTTGTGCACAAGCGTCATCTTTTAATTCGGTACAAAACAGCGGCACTCGAGCATCAACCTGCATGCAATATTATAGTACTAAGCACCCTATGAAAAGTTATGACTTACCAGAGATGCAAGTGCAGACGCATACGACTCGTTAGTCGTGAGGCGATCATAGATGGGTGTGACGCCGCAGGTGCGAGCTGCAGTTAAGAGGGCATCTCGTGTAAATTGGTTTTTCTTGGTGATGTCTGGATAGCCATTGATAAAGGTCATATGAACCTTGGCTTCCAGTATCGCTCGTTGGACAACACGTTGGGTGCTGTCATCCTGGTCTGTGAGTTTTAACTTTCCGGCCTTTGTGCTCCGTACAAGTTTGGGCCCCTGAGAATAACCATGATGGTCGTCGTCGTCATCGTCATCATCATCTAGTACCAAAATGTTGTTGTTTGGAGACTTCGGATCGGCATAGTCATTTGACGCAGCCTCAAGTTCCTCCACATCATTGGAATGATCTACCCAAACAGGTGTCTGCAGTGCATAACATCAATCAAAACAGGAACCATCAGAGAAGTGAATTTACCTTGTTTTCTCGTTTAGGATCATGCACAGACTGAGCCTTTGCCTGTTGAAGGTGTCAGTTAATGAGTATCATTTTCAGCATGGATGGCATTGAGGCAATACTTACCCTGGAAGCCATGGGAGCCTTTGGTTGGGCCAACGAGAAGGGGAAAGGTTCAGCTGTCTGCCTTGACTACGAGGCATTAGTTTTATTTTCAGCACGGATGGCATCGAGGCAAAGACTTACCCTGGAAGCCATGGGAGATGGTTCAGCTGTCTGCCTCAACTATTGAGGTATAAGTTTTGTTAGCATAAATAGCAGAGTGTACTTCAAGTTGCAAGTTAAAAAATCGGCTGACCTTGGTAGCCATGGTTGATTTAGACAGAAACGATTCAGTTTTCTGTGTCAGCTTTGGTGCAGACTCAAATGTACGAGGCCAGGTTGGTTGGGTAAGCAGGAAGTCACGCCTTTCGGCCTCTGACGTCGAGACAAATTTTGGTATCTGAGTGATATTGATTGAATGTGTGGTCAGCAATCTAGAACAGTAGTAGTACTTACTTCAGCTGACAAGAACTTTATGACGGACTCCGGTTCCTCCAAGTCATCGTCAGTTTCTGCATCAGTATCCAACTGAGTCGCCACTAGGTTTATAATCAGAGATATCTTCATCTGCTAAAAACGTGTCATTGATCGTGCAAGATGCATCTTGGGAGGTTCGAGCTGAAGTTAGCTGCTGTTCGGTTTCTTTTCATGCTGCAAGTACAGATGCATCACGCTGAACTGACTCGAGGTAATAAAAGGCGTACCTTTCTTTTGTGGTGGCCCATGCCTCCCAATACCCATGCTGCCTTCATCGGACTCTGCAGATGTGTCTGGTGAGTGCATACCAGTGTGTAGAACACTGCACTCACCTTTACGCTTGCTAGCCCGAGAGATTGCTGAATGTCTGACTCCCTTTGATGCAAGTGAATTGCATGCTTTCTTGGCCCGCTGTTGTGTTATGAGAGGGTGCTGTCTTTTTTGACGCATGTCGGTCCTCCAGACTAGTACAGTGTGCAGTAAGTGAGTTTATTCCGGGTCCGTTCAATTTTTAACAAACTTACCAGCATTCTCCATCGCCCTTTTTTTCGCGGGTCGAATGCCTGCAAAAATATGCAATTTGTTGTCTGGATTGGCAAATGGTGGTGCACAGTGAGCACTTACTTTGGCCAGATGTGATATCACTAGGCATGCTAAAATATACCAATGAGTGAACAATTTTCAAAGAATGTAGATGCAGGAATACCTACCTGTCTGCCAGCCGAGATTGATTTATAGCTACTAGCATCCGTACTTTTGAGGGTCCCTTTTGGATTAGTTCAGGTAGTACATACAATATCTGTTCTTCAAGTCAAATATGGTAGCAAGTCCCGAGTGTTGATACTGAGTGAGGCAACATGTTACGGGATAAGACGGACCGCACATGAGGACTCAGTCAGCGATGCTGTCATATCATCAGAGGAATGGAAGAACCAGCTCAGAGGTCTAAGTACAGTAAAGCAATACCAAAAGGCCTACTATGTGAAAAAAATGTCAAGTGGTGCTAATACAGTTGTTGACAGTCGCTGAGAGTGTCCAATTCTGCAACCGTAAGATTTGTAATTATCAATCGTAACCTTCTGTGCACCTCGGAGACTGTGAATGTATGCAAAAATGACATTGAACATCTCACTCGCCTCAAGTTGCGTGTGCACGATAACGACCGGAGGGTGTGACAATTGCTCGAACAATATCAGCTTCGCGATTGCCCCAATAGCAGCAAAGAGGTAGTTGAACTCTTCAAGGGGGTCTTCAATGAATTCTGATAGTCCGGTACCACTGCGCCACACAAAATGAATTAACATTTGTAATATGAAGGGCTGGTCGAGGACTCTGTCTAAGATCGTGACATCCCCAGCCTAAATACATAAATGTAAACATTAATTTTTGAAGATGCGAAGGGAATACGATGTACAGTGTTGACAGTGAATCGATGCATGAAAGCTAATGGTTGAGTGGGATCGTTGATCAATGTGTTTATGACGCGCCTCCGGAATTCATCGGGTAGAATGTTGGAGTCTACAGGGGGGTAGATATTGAAAGCGAATGGAAGACAGGTCCGCACAACCTTAATGAGGCTGCTGAAAATGGAGGTCCATGTCCCAATCAACTGTTGACGTTGACTCGATGTCGTAGGATTTGAAACACGAACTAAGGAACTAAATGTTAGAATTAGCAACTTATACGTACAAAAAAACTTACTATTCATGCCATTCATCAATGGAATCGACTCTGCAATTGCGAGATCGATGACTTCTCGCTTCTGCACATCACTGCCAGCCATTGCATGCAAAGTGAGCAAGTATTGTATGAGTCGGGTTTTCGCAGTCTGCATGATCTGCTTTTGGACGTCAGCTGATACCCAGATGGAGACGGGTGCACTGAGTTGTTGAGGGGCAGGGTCAATAGAGATGACTATGGGGGTGACAGGGACAATGGGAGCAGTGAGGTCGGTAGGTGCAATTATTGTGAGGGTGACAGGAACGTCCACACTTGTTGCATGCTGCAGGGTTTGAGGGGTCGATGTAGTAGTCGTGCTGAGGGGCATAACTTTGGGTTCCGGCAGAGGATATGGTGCAGGGATCCAACAAGAGTGTTGTGTTCTCTCGACAGTCCCCTGCAGTGCCCGGGGAGGTGGTAAAGGATAGAGGGTGTCAATCTCCACTGACCGAGGAATCAGTGTTGGGGCAGTGGTGCCGGCATGACTTGTTGATGTTCCGCTGGTGTTAGCTCCAGACTCTTCAAGGAATGCTTCAAGTACAGTATCAGTCGTTTAAGTAAACGTGATCATAATAACACTCACTGCCAAAGGCAAGTCCATCAAAATCAATGGTGTCCTGATCTCCAGAGACCCCGCAAAACAATGCAGAGCCTCTATATGACGATGAACTAGAAGGATATGCCTGACTGGCTTGAGGGTCGATGGAGTCGAATGGGCCATGGTGCGAAGCCTCAGGTTGGTCAATGAAGTCGAATAGACCCTGGTTTGGGTCACTTTGAGTGTCATTGAGGAAATTGAATGAGATTGTCGATCCGCGATGTGGCTGCATGTCGTGGAGGGACCAAAAATCTGTAGGAGGTGATGGCGGTGGCATGAAAGGAAGGGGGGCATGCACCATGAGCACCTCGATCTTGCGCATGCCTATACCTACAAACACGTGCAAATTAATAAATACCGACTGAATTGAGCCCAGTCACTGGGACAAACTGAAACTGATCAATCAGTAGAGTAATGTTCAATTTGACAATTTTCACGCACTGATGGAGAAGTTCATTGAGATAGTCACATCAAGCACGGGTTAGGGCAGTACATATTGCATAATTTCTAATACAACATACTCAAACATAAATCAGTAGTGAGGTGCAAGGCTGAAAACAATGTAAGATCACCAAAAATGATCACTTTGACCACTCCAGTGACCGCAACGTGTGATGAGAATTTGAGAATTCGGGACTAGAGAAGTTTGAGTTATTGGGGGAAGAAATGATGAAGCAGTGATAGGGCTGACACGAGGATTTCGAGAACTGTGAATGATGGACGTCCAAAAGCGGGCAGAAAAATACAGATGGGAAACTTGGTACAAAGCTTAGTCAGGGCGGCAATCATATGGGAAGCGAAGATGCCTACTGTGATATGAAATATGTCTTCCACGCCTCACTCATTGGAGCCAAGATCTGACAAACTAAGGTGTTCATTCTCAACATCATCTGATCCTTCAGGTGTAACATCAGAGTCCTCGTGGAAGGGTTCAGTGGTCTGAACCTCATTGCAGAAGCGGCGACGCATGGGGAAGTATCCAGTACAGTCCGTAAGAGATTGTGCGATATGTTTGTCCAATATTTTCACAACTTGATCAGTCTGGATATTGACAGTGCGAAGAATCCGGCATTCATCTTCATAAACAGCTTGAAGATAGTTCCTATCGTCATCAGCTTCCAGTTGCCCACGCTGAGAAAAATGACTCCTGTAATGTTGCAGCTCCTCCTCAGCAGAACCAAAGTGTTCTTTATTTTCCGCACGGATGGCATCAGCATAGCATGCAGTAAGATCGGCTTCTTCAGCCTCCAAAGTTGAGAGAAAGAGATGTTGACGTGCAACTTTGCGGGTCAGGAGTTTGGCTTTGTACCCTTTGTACAAAGTCGCAGTTTTCATTTGCGATAGACCATTCTCCAGCTGTTCTTCCAACTTTTTAAAGATGTTTTTAACACAAAGGAAAGATATGCGACAAACATAGCTTACCTTCTCCATTGCTTCAGGTGAAAAATCTGGTTGATATCCTTGGCTCATGAACCGGCCTGCATAACAAACCTCCAGAGGAAGGGGATCGGGAGGATATGGCAGGTACTTCCTGGACTTTCTATTGCCCGTGGACCGCTGATGAGTGGTACTTGTAGGTACGAGTGATTTGGCAGGAAAATACATTAGGGATTCCTTCAAACCAGGAGGCTCAGCCTATGCATCCCCTGAGACAGGTCAGAAACTCAGAGTTGAGGCACTTACAGATACCTGCATGACATTTGGAGAGGATATTGGGCTAGAATTAATGAGGGTTTCAGAACTGTGAGAGACAGGAGAGGGACTGCAAGATTGAGGAGGATCTAAGGGTGGGCTGCTTGCTTGAGCAGGAGAAGGAAACGAACTCTCAGAGACTGTTGTCATCCTCCACAGAGGGATACTGGCATACCAATTCGGAGCTTATGATGTATATGGCTACATGTGTTGGGATATTGATGTATCAGCAGAGTCCGAAAGGACTCCGTTGAATGGGAAGTCACGGGAAGTCCAAAGCAGTGTACCATCTCAACAGATCTCAATTCTAAATACAGACAAAATGGTCAATTGTTCTGGATGTCAAGAATCATTTTCAGTGACAGGCTACAGTCAACATTTAGCCAAGACTAGACAGGGATCTTGCATGGCTGTTCTCGCAGCTTCTCGCACTGCCAACACCCAGCCGAGGAGTCCACGGTCACCTTCACTGGCTCCCACAGAGGATCAACTTGAACCCATATTTGAGGACAAATTTTTCGGTACTTATGGAGAAGATGATATAGAGTGGCTGAGTGATGATAGAAATAATTCCACCAATGAAGAGGAGGGCCTGTACGACTCAGGCGAGTGGGAACCTCCCACACAGGATGAGAATGAATGGGAGCCTCCTGTAGATGAAGATGATCAGGGCACTGAAGAGGTATATGATATTGAAGCTCGCCAGCAGATAGAAGAACATGTTGTAGGGCAAGATAATATTGTTGTCGTACCATATCCGGATGCACGCGCAGGTAAACCCATAACTGGACGACCTACTCGCTGTGCAAATGCCACATATGGAATTGATGCTGGCAGCACTGTAAACATTTATGCCCCCTTTTCCTCCCAAATGGACTGGGATATCGCCAAATGGGCGAAGCTACGTGGTTCTAGCTCAACAGCATTTACTGACTTGCTTGAAACTGATGGAGTAAGTGCCGGTTCACAGGTACACATTCTTGACTGACATCTATGTATATATCTCAGTGATTGTCTTGGCCTCTCATATAAGAATTCAAAAGAGCTAGACAAGATCATCGACAACAACCTTCCCGGGCGACTGAAGTTCAAGCGTGAACAAATCATTGTTGCGGGGGAAGCATTCAATGTCTTCTACAGAGACATTAGTAAATGTATCAAAGTGTTGTACAGTGACCCTGACTTCACTGGTTTTCTAGTATTTGCACCTGAGCGTCACTACGCTGATGAAGATCAAACCGTACAGTTGTTTCATGACATGCATACCGGCCAGTGGTGGTGGGACACGCAAGTAAGCAAACTATCATAAATCAGCATCTACCTATTTTGTTAATATGATACTTTTTAGAGAGCGCTTGATCAACGACGTCCAGGCGCCACAATCATTCCCGTTATTATATCGAGCAATAAAACCCAGGTGACGATGTTCAGGAATAAAAGTGCCTATTCCGTCTATCTCACCATTGGTAACATTCCAAAAGAAATTTGCAGAAAGCCATCCCGTCACGCCCATATCCTCTTGGCATACTTGCCCACTACCCGCCTTGAGCACATCGCAAATAAAGCTTCAAGATGCCGTACTATTTCAAACCTTTATCATGCCTGTATGAGTCGCATACTGGCTCCACTTAAGACTGCTGGTACTGATGGGCTGGTAATGAGTAGTGGTGATGGCGTGGAACGTCATTGTCATCCTTTGTTTGTGTGCTTTGCGGGCGACTATCCTGAGCAATTGCTCGCTACTGGAGTGAAGGAAATGGAATGCCTGAAATGTGACATTCCTACAGAGGAACTCGGGAGTAACACGGCACCATTCGAAATACGCGACCTTCACGCTGTTTTGGACACTCTTTCCAGGATTGACGACGGTGACCTGGTGTTTGTACAGGCATGTCGTGAAGCTGGAATCAAACTCATTATACACCCATACTGGGAGGACCTCCCTCATGCAAACATTTTTCAGGCAGTCACACCTGACGTACTACATCAGTTGTATCAAGGTCTTATCAAACATCTGCTTGGATGGCTCGCACAAGCATGTGGTGCAGCAGAGATTGATGCACGATGTCGTCGCTTACCTCCCAATCATCATATTCGAATATTCATGAAGGGTATCACCAGCCTCTCATGTCTCAGCGGTACTGAACACAGTCAAATATGCCGATTTCTCCTCGGTATCATCATCGATACTCGACTTCCTGGAAACCTTGCTTCATCTCGCCTCCTCAAGGCTGTGTGCAGTCTTCTCGACTTCCTTTACCTCGCTCAGTACCCATGTCATAGTTCTGAGACGCTGCTTTTACTGGATGAAGCTCGTGCTCTCTTTCACGACAACAAGGAGATATTCATTGACCTCGGAATCCGAACCAATTTCAACCTCCCGAAGCTCCACTCAGGACGCCACTACTTGACTATGATTCGAACTTTTGGGACGACAGATAATTATAATATGGAGTACACAGAGCAGCTACATATCAATCTTGCCAAGGATGCCTACCGTGCGACCAATCATAAGGATGAATTTATACAGATGACGAAGTGGCTAGAGCGGAAGGAGAAAATCGCTTGTCATGAGCAGTTCATAAAATGGCGTCTTGATGAGGATCATGCTCCTCATCATCTGCATCCACCTGACTTACACTTTGATCGCACCCAGCAATTGACAAAGCATCCAAGCGCTAAAGCTGTCCCCATTCAAAAATTGATCACTGACTATGGTGCAACCTACTTCCAACAGGCCCTCGCTCGTTACATCGCACAACAACAGAATCCAAATGAGGTGATTACTCGCCAGCGCCTGGAAAACCTTTCTGCAGGTATTCATCTGCCTTTCCATGCTGTTCCTGTGTATCACAAGATAAAGTGGTTGTTGACCGACGCTCGGGGACACGGCGATCCGCCTGTCACAGTGGATAGTATACATGCTAGACCCCATCACAATGCCCAACGCGAAAATGATGTGGTACCAGCACGCTTTGATACTGCACTTATCAATGATGGTACTGGTAGTTTTGTTGGGGTTAAAGATATAACTTAAAGGCTTGTGTCGTCATGCTTGAATAATAATGTTTCTAGGCTTCCATGTAGGTCAAATTCATCTCGTTTTCTCAATTCCGGCATCAGCAACACAGTTTTTGTTCCCTCCAACAAACCAGCCCCCAAAGCATCTCGCATATGTGGAGTGGTTTACCCCCTTTCCTGCAACACCGGATCCAGGACACAGCATGTACAAAATTAGTCGGTTAATCAAGTCTGGTGAGAGAGTCATGAGTATCATTCCGGTGTCCAATATTACCCGCAGCATCCATCTCATGCCAAGGTTTGGAGCTGTTGCACCGCGACACTGGACAGTCAACAATGTTCTTGAAGAATGTGACACCTTCTTCGTTAATTGTTATATTGATAGGCATAGTTTTGTGACGCTTAGATGATGCGCAAATTTTTTCGTTACATTATTCTACATTACATATAAGTTGTCTATTTTATCAAAATTATCATAAATTAGAGAAAGTTTTACATACTTAGCCTAAATTTGTAGCGGAGGGTTTTCCTGATGGATTCTTCGAGCTTCCATATCTGGGACTGTGCCTCTGGGGCCTTCGTCCAGACCTGCAATCTACCTCAATAATAGTCACGAAGAGCGGTGAACTGGACCGACCAGCTGTGTCAACAAGTTTTACCTTTAATGTCTCGTTTGGAGTCTGAGCCATTGAAATGTCATACATATTAGTTCCAGTTGTACATCCTCCAGCATCGCAGGATGTTACTGCAATGTTCTTCCCAGCGATCAAATTGACCAAGCAACTTTTACCAGAAGCTTCTCCGCAAATGACAACGCGGTGTAGAAGTTTCCCGACTTCGGTCCTACTTACCAACGTGAGAAAATATGATAAGTGCACAAAGTGTAGGAGACAATGTACATTGGAACCCCGTTAAAAGTGCCTGGTAATGATTCAGTGTGAACCCCTGTGTTATTCGATGGATGACACTGCTGGATGAGTTTGCGGACATCGTATGACTGGGTGCGGCGTTCCTTGAACATAGGTCCTATCATTGTCGCCGTAGTGATACATGCAGCGAAGGTCAGAGATTCCCCAACTTTAGTATGCTTGGAGCCAACAATACTATGATGTTGCAGTGAGGTGAAGGGCCCCTGATTTCAAGTTAACTTTAGCTGAGGAAGAGTCAACCAACTTACACCAGATGGTTGTGTGCGGGGACTCGACATTGTACTGATGACTCAAGATAAGAAAGCGAAAGGTAGGTCTTGACTTGTGCCTTCACTGTTTTTGAGTGGCGTCAGCTCTCCGTCAACTACCCTCTTATTAGAGCATTGGAGTCGGTATGTTCAGGCAGACGTTTGGATTCAGCATGTTCCATACACGTGCCAGTGAGATTCTGAGAACCTGCAGGTGTAGCTGCGTGATCTCATCTTGAATATTACAACCGCCGGGCCATGCTGCATGCTGCATTGAGGCCCATCACGATTCACAGTATAAAATCCCAGGACCTAGAATAGGGACTGGTCACTTTGGTCACCCAATTTTGGACACTTCTTAGGTTGATTGCTACCTATAGAGGTACTTTTCTGGTGGTCTACCCAATGTTCTGTGGTCTTTCCCTGTTGTTGTTAGGGACCAAAGACCATGGACCATACATGGACCAAAGACCATTGGGAATATGTTGTGGGAGTACCATATGATGATTTGGACCACTTGAATTCCCTATAACGTAGGGGTGTCTGGGGTCTTCAAATGATGATTTTTTGGCAAATTTCCCTACCTTTGTGGATTGCATCTGTGACCTGTGCCCTGCCTCCTAGACCCCCCCATAAACATAATGAATCTTTTTTTATATAATTGAACAATATATCAAAATTGTATACTTTGTCCAGACAACCTACAGTCATTTCCAACATGCCAGGCGCATAACCCACAACAGATTTCATTATATACCCACTGGACCCGCTCACATCCTCTGGAAAACTGTCCTATGCCCAGTCCAGTTCCACCTAACACTACTGGTACGTACACTTCAAACCACACACATGTTGGTTCATCACACCCACTCCTCAATGCTCACTCTGCTTACATCTTGGTAGGGGGCTCCTCTCTGTTTAACCACATTAGCTGCAGTACCTCATGGCCGTTTACATACTATTGGACCCAATATTGTTACTACAACCTTTGTCTATAGTACTCCAGACTTTCACATAGATAGATGAATAGGGATGGCATACCACAGCATTGCAAAAATGATAAACGGGCGAGACCACAAGCTTAATGGGAAGGACCGTAGGTGTGATGTGCCTGCAATAGGGAAGACCATAAGCTTAATGGGACGGACCATAGGTGTAATATGCATGCTATAGGGAAGACCACAAGCTTATTGGGATGGACCATAGGTGTAATATGCATGCTATAGGGAAGACCACAGGCTCATTGGAAAGGACCATAGGTGTAATATGCATGCTATAGGGAAGACCGCAGGCTCATTGGGAAGGACCATAGGTGTAATATGCATGCTATAGGGAAGGCCACACGCTTAATGGGAAGGACCATAGGTGTAATATGCATGCTATAGGGAAGACCACAAGCGTATTGGGATGGACCATAGGTGTACTATTCATGCTATAGGGAAGACCACAGGCTTAATGGGACGGACCATAGGTGTAATATGCATGCTATAGGGAAGACCACAAGCATATTGGGACGGACCATAGGTGTACTATTCATGCTGTAGGGAAGACCACAGGCTCATTGGGATGGACCATAGGTGTAATATACAAGGGAAGGACCATAGGTGTACTATTCATGCTATAGGGAAGACCGCAAACTTATTGGGAAGGACCATAGGTGTACTATTCATGCTATAGGGAAGACCGCAAACTTATTGGGAAGGACCATAGGTGTACTATTCATGCTATAGGGAAGACCACAAGCTTATTGGGATGGACCATAGGTGTACTATTCATGCTATAGGGAAGACCGCCGGCTTAATGGGATGGACCATAGGTGTACTATTCATGCTATAGGGAAGACCACAGGCTCATTGGGACGGACCATAGGTGTAATATGCATGCTATAGGGAAGACCGCAGGCTCATTGGGACAGACCATAGGTGTACTATTCATGCTATAGGGAAGACCACAGGCTTAATGGGATGGACCATAAGTGTACTATTCATGCAATAGGGAAGACTGCACCCCCCCTTCCCTTCAACAGACTATTCCAACTAGAATTACTCCATTTCTACTAGGAAGACACCATGTCCGATTCTTCCTAAAGAACAAGTATGTCACTCAGCTACTACCTTCATTTTCTCTCAATTAATGAATATATATGTAGATGTAGCTCAAAAGTACTCCATTGGTTGCTACTAGTGATGTCTCAGCTCCAAACTGCATTTTTCAGAAAATGAGCATAACATGCTGGATAAAATTCCTAAATGCATGAAAATATTCATGCACATAGATTGAGCCAAAATCTGGGAGGCATCTAAGGGGAATTCTTACTGTTATGCATCATTGCAAGACCAATGATGCATAACAGTAAGAATTCCCCTTAGATGCCTCCCAGATTTTGGCTCAATCTATGTGCATAAATATTTTCATGCATTTAGGAATTTTATCCAGCATGTTATGCTCATTTTCTGAAAAATGCAGTTTGGAGCTGAGACATCACTAATAGCTACTGTATAATACATTCTCACACATCTGTCAGCCAAAACCAAGTGACAACTATAAATTCTATATGTGCCAACATTTATTTGACAATTTAATGGAGGACCGAAAACTATAAATTCTATATGCACCGACATTTATTTGACAATTTAATAGGGGAGGAAGGCATAAAGTGATCATCAATGTCATCCATGTCATCCAATAACTCATTACTGTGATCATACCTGTACTCGTCCGCTAGTGCAATGTCTTCAATAGCATCCATCAGTTCCTCATCTCCGATCTCACCATATTCCAGGTCTCCCTCGCAATCACCTTCCTCCCCTTCCACACTCTCGGCATCATCCTCATCACGAAAGGATGACTGCGCTTGATCATGAGCGGCCTGAAGCAATGCTTCGTCAGAGGGTCCCCAGCTCTCATCAACTGGCCATGTGCAAGGAATACACTGAACCTTTTTCTTCCAGACTACACATATGTTGACGAGTTCATCCGCACAAGACCGAAGGTGGAAAGATATGACTGCGTCTGTCACTGCAACGTCACTAACAACCATTGATAACATTGTAAGGACACACATACCTGCATTGTTCGAGGCACCTCTTATGGCCCCCCACTCCGCCAACATCCATTCTTGAATGACAGCCCTCTCACGCATCAGTCGAGCTTCCTCCTCCATGCACCGATCAACCTCAAGTTGCAAGCGGATACCATTTCAGACGGCATCATCTGATAGCCATGCTGGCGGCACTATAGTGTCATCATCAAGCCCAACATCTTGCCAGATGTCGTCATCAACATCAAGCAGAAAGATGCCATCACGCGGGATGATGTGAGGCATAACAGCATAAGGAGGTGCTCGACGCTGGCGTATAAGAGATCGTAGTTGAGAACACAAACCATTGTACGTTGAAACTAATTTGAGGATGCCGGGCTCTCGCCGCTTGATCGACTGCTGAGTATTGGCATGAAGCTTGTGCTCAGCTGGAAAATTGTGAGACGTGCACCAGTCCGGTCAAATCGTCAACGCACCATTGATTGTTGCTCTGTACGATCTCTTGAGTCTCTCAAACTCAAACTTGCATTGATGAAGGCGGTCGCGAATACGAGTTTTGACTGCAAGGGCATTCAAGCGAACCGTAAGATAAACATCCTTCTTCATCTTCTCCAGGTTGACCTTGTCCTCCGTTCCAAGCGCAGCTCGTCGTCGTCGGAGAGAGTCAGCAGTTTTCGCTCGCCGTGAGCGGATGTCTGCAAGCTGCAGGTTGAACTCGACAATGTCAGGGACACGGCCACCATGGAGCTGCATCTCGAGCTCACGAATAGAAGCCTCCTGAGCTTCTAGGGTCTTCTCCAGTGCTAGGATGGTAGTAATCACCTCCACCGCCTTGTTTCTAGATTGTCCTATGTAAGGTTCAGTTCAGGACTCTTAGAACATTTGGTTATTACAGACGTACGTGGTGCGGGTTTCATCTGGTGATCAACCTGAGCCTTCCATTCTACACGAAGCATATGTTCGTCCACCTGTAAGTCATGTAGACTGTCCAGTGCACCATTTTTCTTCGTTTGACAGTGGATCCAGCGCCGATGGAGCCAATGTCCAAACCCTTGTAATGATTTTGAGTCCAGATGACGAATTTGTGTGTCGAGGACGAAAAGCCGCTGATTAAACTTCATAGCAAAGAGTAAGATACATAGAATGATACGAATAGATCATACGTACCCCAGAAACACGCAAGGAGGGGATGAGGGGCTTGAGGAAACTCCACAGTCATTCGCATCCTTCACTGTCAGACAGTCCGAATCCTTCTTTCTTCCTGGGGTGGTACACAATCTGACAAGGCCACTGGTGACCATAGGCATGGAATATGGCAACAGCAAACGCAATGCGAGATAGAATAGAGTTGTCCATGAACTTCCACTTGCGACAGCTCCGTTCGAGCTGGCATCCAATGTCATATAGAAGCCCGATGGTCATCTGAGCAGGGAGATGTTTAAACAACCGGTCCAATAGAGCAAGCACATAGTGTTGTTTTTCTCCCGCCGATGTGAGGTTCGCAACCCACAGTACACGATCGTGTCTACAAAGCAAGGCCATCAGGCCTGTATCGGTAAAGAAGCGAGTACTTGCCTTCTCTCGCTTTTCGTCTGCAGCGATGAAAGAGTCTCCACACCCATTCAAGACCGACACTGGTACACGCATGCCCTCTTCATAGCAATCTTCGTCTGGCTCCGCCCTGGAGGCCCTTGCTTGACGACTTTCTCCACGACACCTTTGAACAAAATCTTCCATTGCGTTCACATCGGCCGTCGGTAGAAAGAAAGACGATGTTGGGTTAGGAGGATCGTTGCCAGTAGCACCGCGAGGATTTGTGGAACATTTTTGTGTGAAGCACGCGTCAATGCACACAATAATATTTGGCCTGGAAATGGTCAACTGGTGCAGTAGAGTCATAATAAATGACGCACATGGAAGGAGAACCTCTCACTTCGTTTCGCCAATCATTCCCTCCGAAACAGAGTGGGCACCGCGAACAAAGATACTCACTAGGCTGGTCCACACAAGAACCGTCCTTCCGGGCATCAGTAATGAGGGTAGAGATGTGATCCAGAGCCAACACAGTCAAGACCTGGTACCAGTGAAACACATTGCTGAAGCGACGCCACAAGCTATTCTGAAAGAAGGTTAAGTATACAGGCGCACCCATGAGCAGGGAAATACTGACCTTCGATGTCAACTTGTATCTCATTCCATCAAGAAAGGTCTCCAGAGCATCGCACCAAGCAGTTTGGTTGGGGGACTGATGAACGAAGAGGAGGCGAACGAACTCCAGAGCTCGTAAGTCTACTGCCAGAGAGGGAACCATGGGTGCACATGGAAAAAGGCCACGACGAAGAAGCTGAAGTGGGGCGGGAAAACAAGGACAGGCAATGATGGTGATTTCTTCGAAAGCTGTAATGTACATCAGACCAAAGTTAGAAGACAAGAAAGACAATAACATACCGTCGAAAAGTACGCATGCAACCTTGATACTACGAGTTCTGCACCCAGTCCCGCACTCTCCATCATTTGAATGGCGTTCTCCTGGTATGTTGGCATGGCGTAGCGATAAAGTCTCCTCGATATAAGATAGATAGGGCACTATCATGCATGGAATGATGTCTTCTGACCATCTGTGCCATTGATTGGCCCTTTTCTGTGAGCTGGTGAGATGACGGGGAACAGGATGGTCAGAGAAATGCAGGGAGTCGCTGAATGGAATGGTCGCTTCATCATCCTTGTGTTCTAGTTCTGTCCTAGACATGGACAATGAACGAGGTAAAATTTGCTGTGATAAATGTCGTCGTCCTGGCATAATCAAGACAGGAGGCGGGCCAGGAAGATAAAGGTTTAGCTTCTTAGTCTCGCGGGGGAGTTTCCATTTCTTGACCATCCAAGGTTCACAAATAATAGTGCTCGATTGTTGTGTCGATGGAGGCGATGGTGAACCGAGGGTGGTTGCTCTACGACGTCGAGGCTTCAGATGGCGGACCGCCATGACGAAATTCCTTAAGACCCGAAGTTTTACAAGGAAGAGAAACAATGACACGAAGTCAATTGGAGAACCTCAAGTCACGGACGCGCAGTCCAGCAGAGTTCAATGGCAGTGATTAATTGTAGTGGACACTGGGTGGACCGACAGGCAGTTGAGGAGAGTTCAATGGAATAACTGGCGGTGGTGGTGGATACACTGGGAGTTGGAAGACAAAGCCCTCAAGGCAAATGTCCATAATCGCATCAGAGCAAGTCCTTCAGGTCAGGAACCCTACATAGTCGGACATCTCATCATCTGCATTTCAATGTCATAATGTAATTATGTCAGTAACTGCGCTAACCCAATAAGAGAATTTTGTTGTGCAACTGACTGAACCAGATATATGTTTTGATGGGACTCGCAGAATGAAAAAGGAGCTTGGAAACAGAGGATACATGAATGAGAGCAAACAGATGAGAGGATGGGAAGCCTACAAATTGAAGTCCATGCCGTGGCCCTACAAAGTCGAGTAATGGAGTTTCCTACATTGCACAGGAACATCAAATCACGCTGGAGGCAGTGTTGCTGATTATGTCACGCAAATTCAACTAGCAGGAATACAGCAACATCAATCAAACATATAATGATGAGGTAACGAAACCGCAAGACATTGCTATGGGCAAAAGACAAAAACAGCGAAATTATGAGATTACGATTGCATGGGAAGTGAGTGGGGCACAATGGGAGGCCTGCCAAAATGATCGAAGAATGTTTGAACGTAAAATGTTGCCGCCGCGCACCTGACTTCCCAGGAGTATGTATCTGTGAAATTGTCCGAGGTCAGTGGTGTCGTAAGACAAGGCGGAACATCATCCCAATCGCAAAGCAGTCTCCGGAAATTCTTAAGGTAAGGAAGACAACCCATTAAGGTGTTGTTCCACAACCCATAGTTCTCCGACGGAAACGACTCCGACCACATCACCAAACCAGCCTCGCCTGGGAAGATGCTATGGAGGAGCTGCTCGCAACCAACGGCATCATTGTTCCAACATCCCCGTGCCAAGTAACGATCAAGATCCCTCAACTCGTACCGAAAGCCAAGTTCAAATAACTCCCAGGTGATCTTCTGGACCAGAAGCGAAGGAGGGGTGGCGAGACTAGTGATGGAGACTTGTTCACCCCGAAATTCAACAACTCCTTCTGGCGAAAATATATCACCCTGAGTTTCCAACAGGTCATCGCCGAATAAGTCCCGCATTGCTCTCTTCCCCTTCTCGGTGGCTGTAAGACTCTTTCCATCTGGCTCTTTCCCTTTGGAAGATTGTGGTTGGACAGAAGGGACGCTACCAAGGAAATCGCGCCAGAGCTGAGGAGTGGGATAAGTGCGTGGAGGATCATGGTCAACTCGGCCAATCCACAGTGGACGAGCAGCGAGCCAGTTGGCAAGGTATAGTTGCAATCGTTCAGGCAACTTGGGACCGATGAGGAGAGCGGGTTCGGGGAATCTATACCCCTGATTGATAATGTAGGGTGTGCGAACACGAGACTCGTCCTTAATGGCAGTTTTCATGGCGCCATCCCAATGCAGGTTCGGCGGTGGAAGGAAAGGAGTCTCGGGATCTTTCCACTTATCCCTAGATTCACCTGACTGTGTAGGGCGAGCTTCAATGAAGTCTGAAAATTGCGTGAGTATGCAACATATACAAAGGAAAAAGGGTACATACAAGGCCGGTGCTGTTGTTTACCCTTCTGTTTAGGCGCCTTGCCAAGAGCAGATAATTTGGGACCAGAAGCAGGACGACTCGAGCTGGACAACGGTTGAGAGGATTTGTCAGACTCGGGATCTTGGTATGTCGTGCCTGCATATAGGCAGCAAATGTGCGTATGACGATTGCGGCCACCTTGACCGCGGTAGATGACTTCAAATGGGTGGATTTTTCTGCCCTCTGCGTACATGGCAATAATGATGTGATCCGGGCGTGTGAGTAAGACCAGTTCAACAACCATCATTTTCGGGGGTATGTATGCACTTGCACGGACATACCAAGCTGGGACGCCAGCGCAGAATAACTTCTCGCAGATGTCGCTGCTCTGCGCGAACCCCCCCATCCATCCTAAGTTGACCTCATGGCGAACGCAGAAAGTGGTACGAGGTTGGGCGATGAGTACCCAGTCAATGTAAGAGTATATGTCGAGAAAGAGGCGCTGAGCATCGGTGACAAAAATGAGGAGATCTCGAAAAGTAAGGGGGTGGGACTTCAACCGTGCGATGGCATGACGGAGGTACAAGAGGCGACTGTATATGATTTGACCTCTGTCCAGCTGATCCTTTCTGTAATTGTGGACTCGTTGCTCAGCCAGTTTGAGAAGGGACTGCAAGCCATCGACCTTATCAGGAGCCAGCGTGCCTACAGGAAATGAATTCCCTGGAATGGACTTAAGGTCATCCCGGCTAGGGGTGAACCAGGCCCAATGTAGTGGATGCGGGAATGGAAATGCCTCCTTTTGAGGAATGCAAACAGTGTGACAAAAAGAGTCATCGTAGGACTGAGGCCACTGGAAGCAATCGATAATGCCGAAGCGACCATCTGCCCGGGCTTGTAGGTCTTCTTCTTCAAAGTGGTGAAACTCTGGAACAAAGTGCATGTTGGGCGTTGTAATGACTAAATTTCCCTGCACAGCGACAGCGTGGGCATCGAAAGCTTGCAACCAACCTGTTGTAAACATAAGCATCAGTGCATGACAGAGGTAGATTGACAAATACATACTGTCTGAGAGCGTGCAATTCGACTTAAACAATGTCAGAGCATTGGGCATGATGAATGCTTCAAATCGTAAGTGGATGTCTGTAACGAAAGCGAAAGTCAACGTACCTTGTGTTGCGTTGCGGAATATGATCGTGAGAGTTTATGTCGCTGCTCACAATGACAGCAATGATACCATGCAAAGGACATATGAAGGCAGATCAGCAGAAGTAGTTAAGAGAAAATATGTACGCTCACTGGTGAAAGACTGAAAGTCAAGATGAAAGAAGAGAAACACAACACACCGGGCAGAGAACGGATGCGAGGCACTCCCGCGGAAGGTCTTCAACCCTATTGGTGCAGCAACGAATGAGCAACCAGGGCGACCCTCCAGACACGCAGTCTAAGAGTGATAGATCAGCGACACGAAGTCGACTGATCAGGGTTTGAACGGCACGAAGCCAGTTCAGATGCCAAGAGAGGGCTGGGAGTCGGGAGTTGAGGCTGGAAGTTGAGGGCGACAACGATCTAGTGAGGCAGGATGAGAGAGAGAGAAGAGGAACGATGAATGGCGGTAGATAGAAATGTAAGGAATTGAATAGAAACGCAGTGGGAAAATCTCCAATGAAATTCCGACTGAATCTGGGTAGCAAGTGCAATTGTGGGAAAGTCCCAACTTTGTTCAACTCTTCATCACTGCCTCTATCGTCCTGCCTCCTCATTGGATCGTCGTCACCCTCAACTTCCAGCCCACCACTGCCTCCTCATTAGATCGTCGTGGCCATCAACTTCCAGCCTCAACTCCGACTCCCGGCCCTCTCTTGGCATCTGAACTGGCTTCGTGCCGTTCAAACCCTGATCAGTCGACTTCGTGTCGCTGATCTATCACTCTTAGACTGCGTGTCTGGAGGGTCGCCCTGGTTGCTCATTCGTTGCTGCACCAATAGGGTTGAAGACCTTCCGCGGGAGTGCCTCGCATCCATTCTCTGCCCGGTGTGTCGTGCTTTTCTTTCAGTTTTTCACTAGTGCACACATTTCTTATCTACTTCTACTGATCTGCCCTCACATATCCTTTTTGTACACTCCACCGAGGATCGGAAAGAACTTAAGTCTGGATTGAGTGACTATCATCTTGCGGGTAAGTGCCATATCCTCAGAATATGCTAAAATCTTAATCATCTGTTTAAACAGGTCCTTTAACCTCGTCATTAATTTCTCGCATATTATGACAGTGCATTCAATCTGGTGCGTCATACTTCACTTCCAGTCTTTAATCGGTGAGTGTACACATTTGTCTCACATCTACTTCTAGTGATATACCCTCGCACCAAATCCTCAGAGGTCATTATTGTCATCCATCCACATACCTGCATATTATGGCAGTCCATTCCATCCGCCTTTCCGTTTTCTATAGGTGAGTCTACCCTCACATGTCCCTTTCGTACGCCGTCCATTACCATTGGAAATAGCAGTCATCCCCACAAATGGAGGTTCTACTGGTGTCTCTACTGCGTATCGAAGTCTGGATTCAGTTTTTTCACCACTTGCGCATTATATCGTACCTTCGCACTATCTTATTTACCTTCTGTTCCCGGCCTTTATACTGCTGTAACTTATAACTCGACATCTCGTACACCGCACATCGTCTCTCAACTCTATTCCAACCGTTGTTTTGGCTCCGTTATATTACTGTGACACATCCCTGAGTAAGGGCCCACATTTACTAGCTTTATTTGGGGGTGACACCCCGATACGCTAGTAAGTTCCATTCCAGATAATTATTCAATCAACGCAATAACTATTTCCATAGAGTCTGGTCGCTGTATATAATGTGATACGATATTCAGACACCGTCAAAATTTCCAGCCCCTCCTATATTCACTCTAACATTCTCAACTTTTTCACGCTTTTCGTATCTTTACCTGACTTCGTGTCGGTGAAATAAAACTGTTGAGGCAACTTCGTGTTCTTCAACTTATCTTCCTCGTATCTTCGTGATCATTGGAAGCAGTCTCAAATGCCTCTTGTTACCCGTTCAGGGCGTCGGACTAAAGCCCCACCACCGCCTGACTATGTACGCACTTACGCGTCCAAGGACCAAAAGGCTGCTGAATCTGATGCCGATGACAACCAGGTAATGTGTTACCTATTGTTTGCACTGCAACCACTGCTGATTGCTAAAGGCCTCTACACGTACTATGTGAAAGCAAACTTGCTCTCTTGCTGGCCCGAAGTCTGTCATGAATACCCAAAACCAAGACCGTGTAAGCTTATAGTTGTCATTTTATTATCTACTAAATCAACATCAGCCACATCCTCGACCCAAGGCTCGCCCTCTTCCAAGGTCCGAACGTTCTGATCCCATGACATCATCTGCTGAAGAAGATATTTTCTTCTCTAACTTCAGCAAACGCTCATCACTTGGCAGGAAGAAGTGCAGTGACGTGAACGAAGGTCCCGAGGTCCAGTTGTCTGACACCGCTGACGGGTCCACAAATGGTGCAGATGGCGATGTGCCATCAGGTAAGTTTTCTCTCGGTCTTTTACTCGCTATCAACTCTCATTAAATTTTGTTGTACAGCTGGTCTCGACGAAGATGGTACTAGTAATGCTGCCAATGAGGATTCAGGTATGTGTGTTGCTCCCATGCGGGATGTATTTAAATGTTGACCTGCTGCAGTGACGAACCACAGAGAGCAGACTGCATGTAAGTACTACTAAACATTCTGTAGTAAATAACTAATATGTTGCGTGACAGTTCTATCCGACGGTGAATGTGGTGGTGCTACAGCGACAAACGAAGGGGAGAGATCCGACGGTGAATGTGGTGGTGCTGCAGCGACAGACGAAGGGGAGAGATCCGACGGTGAATGCGGTGGTGTTGCAGTGACAAACGAAGGGGAGAGAGACGCAGGTAAGCTTTGCTACACATGTCGTAGTATACAACAAACATATTTTATTGCAGGTCTATCTGATGGTGAATGTGGCGGCACTACTAAGATGAACGAAAGGGAGACAAATGAAGGAGAGAGAGATGTAGGTAAGTTTTGCTACACATGTTGTAGTATACAACGAACATATTTTATTGCAGGTCTATCTGACGGTGAATGTGGTGGCACTACTATGATGAACGAAAGGGAGAGAGATGAAGGAGAGAGAGATGTAGGTAAGTTTTGCTACACATGTTGTAGTATACAACGAACATATTTTATTGCAGGTCTATCTGACGGTGAATGTGGTGGCACTACTATGACGAACGAAAGGGAGAGAGATGCAGGTAAGTTTTGTGGCATGTCTCGTGGTATACAACTAACATGCTTTATTGTAGTTCTGTCCGACGGTGAATGTGATGGTACTGCAGCGACGAATAAACAGGAGAAGACTGCAGGTAAATTTAAATTTTGCTATATATATATTAGTACGCAACTAATGTGTCTTGCCACAGTTGCATCCACGACCGTTCGCCCACGTAGATCTGGTGCCCACAAATTGTATGCTCGTGGTCATGAGAGTGAACCCGCAGAGAGCTCTGACTCTGACAGTGACTGGGCAGAACTCGAAGAGAAGCGAAAGAAAGCAGAACACGCTAATGATCCTGCAAGGCCATTCAGACTGTCTGCGAATGACAAGCAGAAGGGACGAGCGGTGGCAGACGACCATGGTGACAATGCCGATGCTGATCCCGAGGGCTGCGATGAAGATCAGATGTCTGAAGATGGGGATGGGGCCACACATAAAGCAGGAAGACTGTCCAAAGAAGGCATTTTGAAAACGGAAGAATTTGGCAAGAGAGTTATGGCTGAAGCAACTGCAATTGGAAAAGAGTTTGGGAAACACCGGAGGGAGATTCTTATCGAGGCAGGACTAGCGACGAAGGCAACTCGCAAAGAGTCTGCCTGGAACCAGCATCAAGCCTGGTTCCCGACTGTACTACCTCCATCCAAAGAACGTAAGTTATTGTATTCATGACTGTTTCGGTGTTTATTAATGACCTTCCAGCGAACTTGGCATCATGGAAAGTCAAGCAAAATGTGCACTATCATGCCCACCCATACAAAGACCCTAACCACGCATCCCTATGGAAGAAAATCCAACACCATTGGGATAGCATGGTCGCCAGCCCTGAGGATCTTTCATCACGGGAGTCATCCAGTCTCATGACAGCAGTTCGTGAAGTGTTTGTGAAATCGGTAAGTGTTCTTCGGTGACTTGATCAACGACTAAATATTTGGAAGGCTTCATATTGGTACCGCACCCACGGAATCCATATCGCTGGTATCACCATTTATCCAGGAGATGAGGAATCTGGTCGGCAGGCCTCTGGCTTTTTTGCGGGGTCTAATATGGTGAAGGCTCTCATTGACGCTCGACAAGTAGATGTAAAGCACTTGATAGATGAGCTTACTACAATCCTAAAGTGTGTTTTTTTGTCTTTTTCTTCGAGGGGATGTGATACTAATATACATGGGATGCATTACAGATACAAGGACTTGGAGGCTGCTCAAGCAGAAGGCAAGAGTCTCAGTTTTCTCCCACCACCTGTCGCAGTCCACAATGCTCCCCTCTTGTGCAACGGCAAATCCGCCAGGGATAGAAATTGCATGGTGGCGCCTTTAATCATCAGTGAAGCATTTGGTTTGTGTCTTATTAGATTCCGCTGTCGGTGTACTCACATGCTTTCGGTAGCTGATGCTGGTCATCCCTCTAAAATGTCGAACAGCAGGTGGATGAGGATGCTTGACATCCTTTACTCTATGCAACTTTGCATTCATGACTGGCCAGCAGGAGTTCCACCCCCTGGCCCTGATTTTGATCTCAAATTGCTGTCTGCGAGTCAATTACGCGCCTTAGTGGGTCCATATCTCAGGAAGCATCTCGGCGACATGTATGAGGCTGAGTTGGGCCGAGATGAGGACGAGGACGATGCAGAGAAAGCCACAATGACAAAGCGGAAAGGTAAATCAAAGAAGTCCAACGAGAATCGCAGAACTCGTGGCACGGTTGTGCAGGAGCCCGATGTCATCTTATCTATCAAGGGGTGGACTCCTCGTGCGTATTCAGGTAGTCTGTACCCTACATAAACTAACATTTTTTTTGCATCACAGGTCAGCTATCAGACTTCGCTGGATACTCTCGCAAGGTGTACTCAATCCCTCTTGTTATCGACACAGATGGCATCATTTTACATCATCTGGAAGAGTCGGAGAAATTTATCAAGGACCTCCCTCCCCATGTTACTGAGCGTTTAAACACAGGGACTTCACGCTCTATTGGAGCTTCGCACTCTCACCAGGAAGCTTCGCGCTTGTACCCCGCAGCTCCGTGCTCCGACTATCGGGCTCTGCGCTCCAACTCTGGGGCTTCGCGCTCACAACATGGGGCTTCGCGCTCGATTCCACCTGTCCCTATTCACACTGACCATGATGAACTCCTGGATCACAGCATTCACTCAGATGAGTCCGACGACGATCTCCCACTGTCATCTCCACCACTGTCATCTCCTCATGCGACCCCTCAAGGTTCGAATGTAGCAGCAGGACGATACCAGTACAACTGCGTACATGAAGATATCCGCCGCTCAATAGCCTCTGAGACTAGGAAATGGACTCATGATGATTATGAAAGTGCAAGGGAGGCTGACGACATTGAAACGGGAATGGTGGCTGCGAGATATCGGAGCAGGACCCATGTACGTATTTTTGCATTATATCTTTGTCTTTATTTCTCACATACTTTCACGTTGCAGGACAGGGCAAGCATGGGTATGAGGTCTACCAAGGGTCACAAGTATGTCGTTGCCGTGTTGCCAATCTTACTGTGTAAATTGTTGTCTATTCCCTAGTCATCCTAAGCCATACGTTCGTGCCTCATCAAAGGCACGCATGGGACCTGCCCCGAACCAAAACACTACGCACTTGCCATCTCGTTTGGCAGTTGTGCCATACTCTGAGGGCTCTCCATCTTCGCACCAATATGCCTCACGTCTTCAGCCTGCTCATGTCCTGGATCGCCGTTTACTTCCTCTTGTAGATGAGGATGAATTTGAGTATAACTGACATTTACAGCTTTGATAACCACCTGTCATATTGTCTGATCTCGACTATGATACTTGTCGTGACTTATGCTACTACTTGCCTATGACTTACCTCGCTCATTGCATGCCGATGACTCATGTTAAAATTCTTATGCGTATGCAAACATGCTTTTGTAATCCTGACTCATGTTTTGTCCTCTATCTTACATGCTGATCACAATTGTCTAGACTAACCTGATATCGAAGAATATTACTGTGTGTGGTTTTTCCTCATGTGCACGGTCTTCTGCACTCGTGCAACATTATAAAGATCAATATCAATGGTGTCTATGTCTTGTGACTCTGCTCTCTCATGCTTCTCTACTTTCAGCTTCATACTCTTGAATCACTTCTACGGGTCTGTGTCTGCCTAGCTGCTTCTCTTGCAAGAAGGCAAAGCGACGTGTACATCTTGCCCAATGGGGTAGAGAGGCCGTGAACTATATGGTGCGTGATATTATCAATAGATTGTGATAAGGATATGAGGTCGACAGGTGTGGAGTCTGCAGTGACCTGGCAATGAACGTGTCACAACCATGAGAACAAAAACAAATTGGACAAACACTGACTGTAGCTGAAGACTGAGCTGGATCTAATGAAAATATTAATTGTTGTAATTCCAATGGACGTGAGTCAGCTGTTTTGACGTGTTTCAAATACCAGTCTTTGTCAATGCCAACCCACTCACCATCACACAGTAATGCATGGGCTGGACAAAGTGTTGAATGGACGGATGGAGCAAAGAATGAAGAGTGTTTGATTGCTGGAAGGACCTGGAAGTATGCGAGAGCTGAGACATCACTAGTAGCAACCAATGGAGTACTTTTGAGCTACATCTACATATGTATTCATTAATTGAGAGAAAATGAAGGTAGTAGCTGAGTGACATACATGTTCTTCAGGAAGAATCGGACATGGTGTCTTCCTAGTAGAAATGGAGTAATTCTAATCAGATTAGTCTATTGAAGGGGGTGGTGGTGGTGTGTGGTCTTCCCTGTAGCAGGCATATTACACCTGTGGTCCTTCCCAATAAGTTTGCGGTCTTCCCTATAGCATGAATAGTACACCTATGGTCCTTCCCTTGTATATTACACCTATGGTCCATCCCAATGAGCCTGTGGTCTTCCCTACAGCATGAATAGTACACCTATGGTCCGTCCCAATATGCTTGTGGTCTTCCCTATAGCATGCATATTACACCTATGGTCCGTCCCATTAAGCCTGTGGTCTTCCCTATAGCATGAATAGTACACCTATGGTCCATCCCAATACGCTTGTGGTCTTCCCTATAGCATGCATATTACACCTATGGTCCTTCCCATTAAGCGTGTGGCCTTCCCTATAGCATGCATATTACACCTATGGTCCTTCCCAATGAGCCTGCGGTCTTCCCTATAGCATGCATATTACACCTATGGTCCTTTCCAATGAGCCTGTGGTCTTCCCTATAGCATGCATATTACACCTATGGTCCATCCCAATAAGCTTGTGGTCTTCCCTATAGCATGCATATTACACCTATGGTCCGTCCCATTAAGCTTATGGTCTTCCCTATTGCAGGCACATCACACCTACGGTCCTTCCCATTAAGCTTGTGGTCTCGCCCGTTTATCATTTTTGCAATGCTGTGGTATGCCATCCCTATTCATCTATCTATGTGAAAGTCTGGAGTACTATAGACAAAGGTTGTAGTAACAATATTGGGTCCAATAGTATGTAAACGGCCATGAGGTACTGCAGCTAATGTGGTTAAACAGGGAGGAGCCCCCTACCAAGATGTAAGCAGAGTGAGCATTGAGGAGTGGGTGTGATGAACCAACATGTGTGTGGTTTGAAGTGTACGTACCAGTAGTGTTAGGTGGAACTGGACTGGGCATAGGACAGTTTTCCAGAGGATGTGAGCGGGTCCAGTGGGTATATAATGAAATCTGTTGTGGGTTATGCGCCTGGCATGTTGGAAATGACTGTAGGTTGTCTGGACAAAGTATACAATTTTGATATATTGTTCAATTATATAAAAAAAGATTCATTATGTTTATGGGGGGGTCTAGGAGGCAGGGCACAGGTCACAGATGCAATCCACAAAGGTAGGGAAATTTGCCAAAAAATCATCATTTGAAGACCCCAGACACCCCTACGTTATAGGGAATTCAAGTGGTCCAAATCATCATATGGTACTCCCACAACATATTCCCAATGGTCTTTGGTCCATGTATGGTCCATGGTCTTTGGTCCCTAACAACAACAGGGAAAGACCACAGAACATTGGGTAGACCACCAGAAAAGTACCTCTATAGGTAGCAATCAACCTAAGAGGTGTCCAAAATGGGGTGACCAAAGTGGACTGGTTTAGTTGGGTTTAGCAAATTTAGATGTCTGTCGTACCGATCACACAGGGCCGGTTTTAATACCGGCTCTGGACGTCTTAGTCGTCCGTGGCTGGCGCTGATTCCTCTCTCTGGATCCAGTTCATCATCTACGCAAGTATTTGGGTTTTTGAGATTTCCTGAGTACTCGCCTATCGGCGTTGAGGCCTGAGGCAGTATAATATGCTATGATCGCGCATGTGCATGCAATTTGAGGGTTCCCTGCATTTGTGATATGTTACACGTACACCAGTTGTATTTCAAGTCTACTAGTTTTCAAACTCTCAAGGACTCCCTGTCGTGATTTTTCCAATCAAATGTTTCCTGAGCTGTTTAACATTTTCCTCTTTCCGTGAGGCTGACATCAGTGAACCGGTGAGAAAAGTAGAAGACTATATATCATGATATATAGTACATAATTACAAGAACTAGCATAATCCTGCTATCGACAATCACATTGTTATATTTGGCCTTATAGAGGAAAGGAGATTCCCTGATTTTCCTATGAAATGTTATGATCAGGAAAAGGTACTGATTTCACTCAAACTCACAGTTGAGGTGAAGATGTGGCAAAAGTTGACGGTTGAGCTAGATGAATCAAAAATGCCACTACAGAAGGGATTTTCACAACTACGAAGCTACAAGCGAAGGTCGATACCTTCCAGGTGATGACTATGTGTTAGCCCGTGCAGGTGACAGTAAGTTTTGCGACCTCTTTTGAACTTTAATATTATCGTGCGAAGTGCCTAACATCAGAAGGGCAGTTCATCACTACGAAGCTATGAGCAAAGGCCAATACCTTCCAGTTGATGTCTACATGTTGACCTGCATGGGTGACAGGTAAGTTATGTGACCTGATTCAAACTCTAACATCATTGTGCAAAGATTCGAAACCAAAAGGACAATACACCATCTTCCAGAGAACGACGGTTGTCGATTAAGTGAGTGAAAACAGATTATTCCAGCAAAGCCAATAGTTGAGCTAGTATGTGCCACCTTGAATTTTGACACATGATGTGTAAACTATCTGACAGCTGTCTACTATGTATCAGTTGGGAATTTGTGCGAAAAAGTATTGCCTTTGCGCACTAGCCGAGATGTGTTCACCGAGCAAGCAACAAACAACCTATGTCCTGCTCTGACTCTCCAAAATCACGACGAAGGATCCGCGCATTAGAACTTAAATGGTGCTATGGAGATTGTTCGGTTTTTTATTGTCCTTTGAACATGAATCTGAAACAATACAGTGACCACGATATCTGTCCTCTACTGTGTATATTCAGCCTATCCACATCACACCGAAGGATCCGTGCATTGGAACTCGAACGGTGTTCTGGAGATTGTTCGGATCTGTAATGGCCTATGAGCATGATTCTAGAAAAATATAGTGACCACGATATTGAGGTTGTCTTATTCATACGGGTGATGATTGCGGGCTATATATTAGTTGGGAACTTGTCCATATTTATCATGCAGTAGATTTATGAAGAAATCCACAGTGGAGGACCATCCCTCACTCGAATACTGCGCTTGCTACTCAAAGGCCTTCCGCTATGCTGTGTCATAACTTGACTATTGCATTCATTCGTGACACGTCACAATGAGGGTCATAGCATCGCGCAGACGCAGCACCTTCTTGGTGTAGTACCCTGGTGCAAAAATTGAAAGCAGTGAGTAATGGCTCACCTGAATACCTTAGTTAATAATCTACAAGGGCCTTACATATTGTGCCACGCCGATCAGCAACATTGAGTTCTTTTGCCCTGTACCAGGGCAATTACATGTACATGTATCCACGACCTTGATGGCTTAGCTCCTCTATCCAACGACAAATCTGTTATTAGGACATATTATATATTGCAACAACAACATTCCGCTCTACTTCAGTGGTCGCTGACCTGGCTCGTTTGGAACTTTTGTTGTTGCCGGGCTAAGACAGGCATTATATGGACATCTTAAGAGCACTAGGGATCACTAAGGAGAATCCAATCAGAAATAAAACATCCCTGCCGTGTCAAATATCATGAATAGAACTTTGAATTCGACATTCTTTTGATACTTTTCATCTTACAAATCCATTCTTTCAGTCAATCAAAGTCACAGGCGGAATTATATCTGAATCATTGTGAAATTCATTCATAATGTTTAACAAGAATGCCAGAGGCACAATAGTATGAATCAAGGTATTCATGGATTATCAAAGCACGATATAGTATTAAACGACAATAGACCCTTAGTTTGAATTGAAAGCAGCATCGTCAAGTTCCGCCCTCTGTCTTGCGAGAGCATTGACAGACATGCTGGACCTCATAACGTCGGTAAGGTCCTCACGCCGACTCCTACCAAAGACCTTCCTAGATAAATTGATGATATCAGTCGAGGCTTGTTGACAGTACTGGTATGATGTGCACACCTAGTCCACCACTCAAGGAGTTTGTTGACCCGACGCTGCGCTTCTCGGCCAGAGGGTCGTTCGAAGAAGTCCACGATGGACCGCCAGAATAGTATATAGTCAAAGTCACCATCAACGGTCCGCCACAACGTGATGGAAGAAAGTGCAAATCGTACCTGTCAATATAAGATAAGAAAACAAATACTATTATGATGACCATGACAACTTACTTGACAGGCGATATACGCAATCGAGCGAGGAGTGACTTTCTCCATCTTAATTATCTGCGCAACATGTTTTTTTACCTTGAGTCCCCAGCCAGCCCTCCTGGCACGTCTATTGTTCTCGATGATGTCTGTGCCGTCGCCCTCGCCCTCGACGTCCTTTGCTGAGGAGGGTGACGTGAAGACAGCCTTAAAAGCCTGGCAACAAACAGTGAGATCATGGCCGGGCGACTCAGTGCCACGAACCTGCAACAGAATTCACCCTTTGAAAAGGCCCGCCTCCAAATCGTCCAAATTGGCAGTATACCTTTCATACAAAAAGGTTGGAAAAGATAGCTCCACCACAATATAACCTTGAGAGCGATCTCGAATCCCTGCCTTCGTGCTGGTAAAAAGTTAACATTGCTCGGGATTTTCAAATGTGCTACATACGCCGGGTTATTCCAGTCCAGCTCGGCCGTGCAGAGTAACTTGCCACACGTGTCGTTGATGAACCCGCGAGTATGTTTATCGTCGGGGTCCACCAGGGGATTCGGTTTGAGTTCACGATTGACCCAGTCGGCAACAAGAGCCTTGAGTTTTGATGTGTCGTCTCCTCGAGCTCCATCAGCTCCCTGCCTAAGCTTCACAAATAATTGTCGTGATGAAGTCGACCATTAGTAGTATCAGAACAGCACATACCATTTTAATCATGCGTATATACTCATTGTGCTCTATTTCGGAGGACCACATCACGATCCATGGCAAAGTTCTCGTCAGTATATCATACGCCGTCTGCAGATGGTCTTGACTACATAAATAAATAAAATGTGAGGACACTGGTGACAAACTACAGGCGAAAAAAAACATACTCAAAAGTGGCCGCATCCTCATCATATCTTCTGTCATTCTCGGTGACGAGGTCCTCGATGTTGTTGAATAAAGCGATGATGCGCCTGATCCCTCTTCCTTGAGCTAGATAGTAATTCGTTTGCCTGGCAGATTATTGAGCGTAACCAACCCAACACATACATTGACGGACATACCTTTGTTTGGACGCGCGCCCTGACTCAAGGGTCTCTATCTTTCCTTCCAGCTTGGCAATTTTGCGTCTCTGCTGGGCCTCCAGGAATGCTGACTGGGCTTCTGAAGGCTGTTGAAGGTCGTTCTCGCTCTGCTGTCTCACCGTGTAACAGTGACACCGAGAAGGGGAGCAACAAGGAATAGGAAAGAAGATGAGAGGATAGAGATTGGCCAGTAGCTTTGTTTATATACGGATTGACTGCTTCCCCGAGTGCTTGAAAACGTCCAATGTTCACGGTTGGTAGAAAATGGTGTGCTGGCTCCTTAAAGTGCAAAAGTATGTTAAGTAGTATCTTATGACTATAAATGGACATGGAAGCCATTGGCAGCTTCCGTACGTACCTAATTTGGCTTTATGCGTCTCGTAATGTTGACATGTGAGGGCGCACTTATGTGTGTCGAAATTAATCTTCAAACAGAGGCTGAAACAACTGAGGTAGACAATGAGTTAGTAGCACCCAGCCCTTCATAGAATGACAAAACATACCTTCTTCCTGCCTCCAACGTCGTCCTGCGTTGGCCCAAGTTCAACATGAGCATACCAACTACTCCTCCATCTCATCTCCGCTCTCATCATTGCTGTCGCTGTCCTCGCCCTCCGCAACATCAATAGGTTCCAAACTTAGATCATGATCTGCACCAACGTACACATCGCAGATGACATAGAGTTTTAGGGCGTGCTCGCCTTTCGGTAGTGTGAGCTCCAATTTCACCGAGAGATTCTTGGTGACAGTGACGCGCTTGATTGATAGCAGTTGTTTTGTGCTCGGCTCCCCAACTACGAGCCACCACTTTGCTATCTTTTTCGCCGGGTAGAAAGGTGCGACAAGAGTTTGGTCATCGGAATCCTCATCATCTACATCACGGGCAAGAGAAACCTGCATGGTGATGGGTGCGCCAGCAGTATATTCTCCCTTCTTGAGCTTGAAGGACACGTCAAGGGTCGGGTAAGAGTTGACAAATGTCGCTACATCACGCCTAGAGAGACTGTTAGAAACGGTTAACATGGATACATACAATAAAACTCACATTTGACGACCATCCATTTGCAAAAGTTCGGTGCGTTTATCATCTTCCATCTCCTGACATCGTAAACAGACACAATACCGGCATCCTTGCAACGTTTGATGGTCTGTTTTGAAATTCAATCAGTAATAAAGAGTACCGAGAGGAATAGACATACCTCTGGCTCAAAGTAGGGGATTTGCTTCCAGAACTAAAACTTGGTCCACTGCCAAGTCTGGTGGCAGCTGGATATGAGAGAAATGAGCCTGAAGTAGAAGGAAGGTCTTGAAGTGAGGTGCCTCGAAGTCTGCACGATCGAGCTTGACAGGAACACGGTCGTAGATGCGGCGGAGTATGGTGTCTTCGTGATGCCTGATAGGAATTGACTCAAACTCTGCGGAAGAGGCAACAACCTCCAGAAGACCTTTGAGTTTCGTCCGTTTCTTCAGCGACAGGGTGTACACCTCCACAGTGACGTATGAGATGCTATAGTATGCCGCTATCATCCTGAGGTTCAGTGCTGAAACGTTCATTTCATCTTCTATCGAAATGCACTTTGAGTTAACCAAGTCTTGCAAGGTGTTCTCCACGAGTTCCGACAGGTGATCTGACAAATGCTGGTGGCTGACATTGTGAAGATTGTAGTAGTTGGGGTTTTGGGTCATTCAGCGGTAGAAGTATGTCCATGTCAGGATATCCATTGCATCTTGCTTGTTTTCAATCGTCTTGACAGTGATCTCGGCAAGGAAATAGTCGTGCAATAGGTGGGTAGGCAGGTGGGACTCGATGGGCAGACCCTCTGCAAGGAACTTCTTGTAAAAATCCTTGCGCGTCTGCTGGCACATGAGGACACATCGGCTGCGATCATCTTCCATTGGCCTGCAGGCACGACCTATCATTTGTAGGACATCCATGACTGGGTAGTCGACATATCGATGTTCTTTGCCCTCGTAGTATTGCACGCCCATTATGATCACCATATAGCTTGCAACAGGTAGACTCCATGCAGTGTCCTACAGATGCTCAGTTGCTGGTCAGTGATAGGATCGTGGGTTACACACCTTAGATGCCACCAAAACCTGGACTGCTGCAGACTGGAATAAGTGTTCGACAATGCACTTGTCTTGCTTATCGAGTGCCTCGTGATGATACCCAACCTCATGTTTCAGGCATTCGACAAGACCTTTGTCGCTGATGTGGTCGAGGTGAGGCTGCAAGTCAGCTTCTTCAATATTCAAAAAGCGATCGGGGTCGCTATCTGCTCCGCAATGGATCAACAAGTCATCAACCGTCAGCCGGCACTGGCGTCCTGATGGAACAAATATGATGACAGGTTTGGTGGGTGAATGCTCAACGATAGAGAGATAGGCAGGCTTAGACATGGCAATCATCAGTGAAGGGAAACAAGGGATAGTAAAGCTTTGGAGATGTATATCCATATCCAGCGGCCTCGAGCTACAAAACATCATTTAGTAAGCTGAATATTGATTACAAGGTGTAAGATGTACCTAGGCGAGAAGTTGAAAATTGCATGCGATGGTGCACCCATCCATTCACCGAGATCTCTAGCATTAGCGAGCGAGACACCACAGCCAATGATACGAGTCTTAACCTCCGTCTGCGCAGCGACGTAGCGGGTCCTAGATATCACCACTTCGTATGTCGGACCGACTTCTCCACCTACAAGCTGGATTTCATCAGCAATCAATAGGCCGAAGTTCTGCACATTCTTGCGCTGTCGCCATCTTCGAGACAGGATATCCCACTAGAAATATTGGTTGAGTGAGAGATTTACGACATGATTGAAGAAACCAACCTTTGATTGGGTGCAAACAACAACATCCCCCTTCTCAAGAAGTCGAAGGTCAGCGCTGGTGTCTCTTGTAAGGCTTACTATCTCTTTGCCGCCCTGCAGGCCGCTGAACTTCCGACGCCACTCTGCAACACGTTGGTCGACCTCTCCTGGTAGGGCTGAATACAGACCGCCCTGGGTTGCTCGTGTTTGCTCCAAAGGCGGAGCAGAGCAAATTCAGCACAGATAGTCTTGCCGCTTCCAGTAGGCGCGCCAATAAAGACATTCTCATCAGATGTGTAGAGAGCCTGGAAAACCTGTGTCTGGATCTTGTTGAATGTTTGAATAGTGGATGAGTAGATGCTCTCGAAGTCCTTGTTGTGTAGGGCAGACAGCGGGAGTGGCTGGAGTTCGAGAAGAGGAGTGGGAGGTGGGAACTTTTCTGGGAGAATCAAGTGTTTGAAGGAGATGGGTAGTCTGGTCTCGGCATGTAACCATTGGTCGGATACAACAGATATGTAGTAGTTCAGGGGAACGGGCTCAAACATCAGAACTGTGGTGGTGACATTATGTTCATCCTCTGCATAGCGCTGGCGCAAGACGAATGAGTCGTTAAAAAGAACAATTTCTCTATCGACGTCTTCAACCATGATGAGGAACATTTCAGCTGTTCCGTGGGTCTTCTCATCCCATCGGAAGTCAGGAGCAATAGACAAGTCGATATGAAGAAGGGAGCGGGTGATAGGTTGCACTTGCGCTTGCAGCTGCAGCTTGGGGAAGCTGTGCACCAATTGATGCACGAGCCTTCCGGCGTTTGGAATGCTGATAAGCTCACCAATTTCAGGAGGGTCGAGATCAAAGTAACGATACCATGGCTGATGAAAATTATCTTAGCACGTGCCTTACTTGAACTGATGCAAACTTACAAATTGTTTGACCTCTGCTTTTCGGATGACCTCCTGTGGAACACCCTTGAATTGGCGAAGCGGTGTCATGGAGCCCCACCTGAAAACCAAACAATCAGTTGATGATCAACGACCTTATTAAAAACTGCCAACATTTGTCGTTCGACCATCTTACATAGGTCAAGACATACACGCGCTGGCACTGCCCACCCTCGCTTCAGGCAGATCTCAAACATAGCACGAAGAATACTGTAACATGTGTGAGCTTGGGTAAACTGACTTGAAACAACACATACTGGCCGGCAGATTGCTGAACAAAGACCATATCGGCTACAAGAGCAAAGCCTAATCATCTAGTCAGCACAGTATGGTAGACGGCTGAATCATTACTGACCATCAAGTTTAAGTTGCGATATATATGCTTGCAGAAGGACATTGATCTTTGCTGCAGGTTCATCAATGCCTTCCTTCACAGGAATAGGTACACGTTCTAACAACTTACCAAGCTCAAGATTCTCCTCTTGACACACCTACAAAAATGAATACGAATGTCGAGACTCGTATTACAAACAGAAAATATGTGACATACCGGCAGAAGTTTGAACTCATTCGAGAGCGCAAACACCCGGAAGAGTTCCAGTGTTGACATGGTTGGCCTAAGATGCTGGTTGTACGTAGCCATCAAATTGTATGTAACATAGTAGTGAGACGCAATACGACCAAGCTCCGAGTCGGTGCTCTGGAAATGACCAGATGCACGTTCGTACTTGATGAGATGACATTTCTCCAGCAGAATGGCGTCAGAATAGGCAATATCAGCACGCTTCTGGATAAGACCATTGTCGTCCTCCTGATAATCCACGCCAACATCATAATACAGTCCTGGGGACTTCAGCATGCGGACATAACTGTGGGAATTGTCAGCACTTTTACCGCTTTGAGAACAAGCGAGCTTACAAATAAGTGTACCCCAACTGCTGGGTGGCCTCATCACGGTTGCGAACTGTTCCAAGAACAATCTCTACAGTCAAGTTATCCTCCAGCTTCGACACGAACTGAGACTTGATCGGCAGTTGCTGGTTCAGCAAGCTGAGGTAGTACTGCAGCTCAGCGTGGTTCGTGATGATGATGCCCTCGCCATACATATCATATTGCGGACGACCAGCACGACCAAGCATCTGCAACACATCCTGGGAAGAGAGCTCAACCCAGCGGCCCTTCTCCGGGTTATATATCTGCATGCCCTTGATGATGACGGTGTGTGCCGGGAGGTTCACACCCCATACAAGTGTTGCCGTGCAGACAAGAACCTGGACTGCACCATCTGCAAAAAGCTCCTCAACAAGATTCCTGTCTTCTCTAGTCATACCGGCGTGGTGAATAGCGAACCCAAACGGTAAGAGGTCGCGCAGATTGCTATCTTTGACATTGCCTGCTTCCTCCGTGAGGATCTCACGCGTCGCTGAGTCAGGACGAACGAACTGCGTTATCGTCTCTTTCTCCATGGCCATGTCATGGATGAACTTGGCGGTCTTGGCGGTCTCCTTGCGAGAGTGCACGAATACAAGGGTCTGATTTTTGCCTGCTTGGTCAAGTACCTTCTCGTAGCAAACCTCATTCATGACCTGGAAACGCTTGATAGCCTTCTTCTCTGTGACACCAATGAATTGTTGCTGAAGCGCACATGGACGGTACAAGGCATAAAAATGGAATAGGCCTTTCGATTCGTCCACGTGGAGGAATGTCGCAACATCTTGGTAGTTTGGAAGTGTAGCTGAGAGACCAACCAGGCGGACGTACCCCCCCGTTTGCTCCATCCTCCGTATTGTATGTGCCACAACGCTCTCAAGCACGGGTCCGCGCTCATCGCTCCGACATTCACAATTTGAGGCGCTACTGGCGGTCGTCGCGTCGGTCATGGTCGGTGTCATTCGCACTCACGTTCATCAAACACTCATTATCTTTTTCTCACAGGCTCTTTTAATCCTTCCCTGGTCCTTTGGACCATGCTACCTCCGGTGAAATTAGCTATAATTGGTGGAGGGCCATCTGCTTTTTATGTAGCCTCGCGCCTGCACTCTCCTTCCACTGAAGGATCCAATGTCTCCACCACTGAGGGTACACATGTACGACCGACTGTGGGCATCTCATGGTCTCGTCCGCTATGGCATTGCCGCAGGAGAGAATGGGCTGGGACGAGGCCTTGTTGTTTATCGCTCTCTTGCGCACGCAGCCGTGATACGCTAATCGTGTCGGCGGTGCCTATGCAGGTGGGGGCTTAACATTACTAATTTATATTGGCATATCCATCAAACACTCGCTTGTATTTCTGTAGTTTACAAATGAAGTTCAAGTTTTTTCAAGAATGGTGTTTGTAGTGAGAACAGTGATGAGCATGAGATGTATTGAAACTACCACCGTGACTGGCACAGGCCTGGTGATTGAGTACTAGGTATACAGACAGCGAAAAGAAAAGTAAGCCGGAGTAAAAGGCGGTCTATCTAAACTGTAACACCATAAGACTACAAGGAATTTCTGATGCGGACTGTATTGGAAATTAGCTCATGTAGTAAAGTGGAACTGGACGTTCAAGTGCTGCTCACCTCTTTCAATCTACATGCGCAACACTCAGTAAAATGAATATCCTTGGTTCAACGGATCTTGGGGACCTTCATCTTCATCGGGTGGCGCGCAGTAGTAGAGGCCGAACTGGGAATCTGAGGCGGAGCCATAGTAGGTGGTACTTGTATGAGCGTGTACAGCCATGGAAGACCCACCTGCTGTGAGGTCACTTATGTATGAATACGGCTCCTCTTGGGCAGGCACCGGCAGCACTGCAGACAATGATTGCAGGAACGGCTGGCTGGTACTAGGGCCTGCATAAAGTGGTCTAGTTAACTCCTGCATCGTCTGAGGCACATAGATTGGATCTTCTGGACCCACTAAACCCAACTTGGTTCTCAAGGTATGGCTACAAATTACAAGCATGGTTTTGTCACATTCCGGGTCCGAGTCAACACAGCAGAAACAACTCACAGTCCTCTGTGATGAAGATTTAAAAACCGCGCCAGTAAAGCCTCCTTGTGAATCGGGAGTGACAATGCACGCGTTACGGATTCCATGTAGTAGGCCTGGCGTGAGGCTTATATTTCACCGTGGAATCGCCAAGTCTTCTTAGTAGAGCTCGGGATAACATCTTCTACTATCTTGTCGATTCCGTACTCCACCTGAAAATAGTGAACATCATGTACATGAGAGTATCTAAGTCTATGACTCACCCCGGCCGCAACGTGTGAGAACATATGAAGTGTCGTCGTAGTGATCTCCTTCAGGAACGCCTGCTCGCGCAGTGGCGTGTAAGGACTGCTGTATAGATGGTTGATATGGATCTTCTCCACGATTGGATTCGAAAACACGAGCAGGGTGACATTCTGTCCATCGACCCTCTCACCATGTAAAAAATATTGCCATCGGTTGGCCTCGGATGAATCGAGGAGCATGAGCCTATGATTTTGCATGTAGGTCTTGTGGGCCTCATCGCTCAATGTGGTGTCCTTGGGTTTGATTTCGAACTCTCGCACCAACTTCTCTGCGATCTCCGCAAGACTATTGCGAAACTGCGAAACAGGGTTGGTCAGCAGGATGCCAAGTTCCTTTGTCAATGCTACATCTGGTGTGTTGCATTAGTAGCTGGTGATACAGTATAATGGTGGGGTACATACTAGTCCCAAACATCGAATTGGCTTGATTCAGAACTTCATTGAGGTAGGCGTCCCTGCATTCGTCCGTTTTGTTTTGCGGCCAAACAACTGTCGTTAACAGATCCATCACCAAGCGCTTCCATGCCCATTTGACGGCCGGATGTTCACCCTGGGGCAGATCCTTTAGGGCCAATTTTTTCACCTCTTTCTGGCCTCCGCAGTTATCTGAGACAAAACTTTCAGATCCAATTGAAGGTGAGTTATTCCGCACGACGGCACTCGTGCTGCTAGTGCGAGTGTAAGGCTGTAAGCGGTGTGATGAATGTTCTGAAGACGTCAATCGCCGCTTGGGATTTACGGGGTCGTAGGGTATGGGTTCAAAGCTGTCGGACGGCTCGGGAGTAGTCATAATGCTTCAAGGAGAGGGACTTTGGAAAGCTGACTCGGAGACTCACCGTCTGGCAGGTGAGTTGCATTTTAAACAATGGAGTAAAGAGAAATATAAGAAATTCCAGAGTACGACATTGTCATGCTGGTGACTCTCCAACACATGTGTTCAAGTTCAAGGCGTCACAGTGCATCTGATAGAACTTTATCCCAATGAAGACTCGGACATCACGGTGCACATGTAGTGCGTTTGACTCACAGACTCAATGGACTTGAAGAACCCCAATGATAACTGACCAACTTCATCATTGCGATATCGTTTAAAGCCGGAGTCAGTATGTGAGGCCTTCATCGTGATCGTGACGGCACATGGTCCTGTGCGTGAAGAAGATGAGTCCAAAGTTGGACAGTGCAGAAAACCATAATGTGTGTCGGAAGAAATTAGTGAAGTTCAAAGGTTCATAACAAGCAGAAAAAAGTCGAAAGAGTCGAAAGATCATTCGATTTGGGCAAAAGGCCTCTGATTGCCCCGAAGCGGACTGAGAAATGTACACCCTGGGTCAACCTTTGTATGGCTGGGCGGCTGAATCTGTTAATAAGATCTGAGGGTGGTGGTCTAGATGTATGTAACTTACTAGTCAGTAGGTCGAGGACACTAGTAAACGCATGGGGAAACATTTCGATCAGCATTCAGTTGCTTTCATGACTTACTAATGATAAGAATTGCGGTGTACGATCAAGCTGCAGCATATTTTAAATTTCACAACTCCTATATTTAATGTTCGTGCCCCACCACGCCTAAGACTTGCTTCCAATTAGAAGTTGTCATGAGTAATAGAACCGGGTTCTAGAATGATTGGAATGTGACAGACGTGACTGGCAATGAGTCTCTTGACTCGGAGTCTATTCTAAAATGTTACTTCATGTCCCAGAGTGCGGCGGTACTACTAATAGCCACGGTGTTGCCGCTGAGGCGAATCAAATCGAGGTTGTGGGTGTTTATCTGTGGCGCCGCTTGGATCCTGAGTGACACTACAATGCCGCAGCGCGGCCACTCTTATTACTAGTACTATGTAATGAATCAGAGTACCAGATGTGACTCGGAACCTATGAATGGATGATTTTTCCTTGTGCTAGCTTTTGATCCACCCTTGCAAGTGACAAATTCCGGTTGTAAAGTGGGCACTGTGTGCCTTTCATTTCTGGTCCAGCAATTTATGTAATTCGACAAATAAATATGATTGTTACAGTGCAAAACCACATAGACACATGTAATGGTAGATATCGCGACTGACTACGATATGAAAAAGATCATAGGGACAATACACACTAATATTATCACAGCACAGCTGCTCATCAGATTATTCATCCGACGCACAGCCTGACTCGCAGGCTGAGCGACTGCCATCAGATCCAAAAATAGAACTATCATCATTATCATCAGAGCTTTCACACCAAGCCTGGTCGTGGTCGTTAGGATCGAGTTTACATCCTTTATGCCCTATCCCTATCACCGTCACTCTTCCAGCATGGAGCATGTGTCTAAGGGAGCCGATTTGCAGATCAAGGCTATGGATATCTTGTTGGGACTGCGTTGTTTCATCTTCGAGAATGGACTTCATTAAATCTAGTTCGTGAGAGTGAATACATTGGTATTGCATTCTTGCGGAAATGGCCCGGCAAGTGACCCGGGAAAGCTCGAGCATCCGCTCATTGACATAGTTTGCGCCACCAGAATTGGACTGAGTGCAGTTCCACTTTGAACATGAATTTACATCTGAAATTAAAATCCGCATTATCATGATGAGATACTCACAGTTGTTTTCAAAATTTTGAATCTCTTCGTTGGCAAGTCGCAATCCTCATCACGGTCACCGTCTTGAAATAAGGCACACTGGGCAGAGCGCTTATGATGACGACCGTGAAAAACAAGACATTTTTGCATGGTTGCTACTGAGCTACCCACTTCAGCTTGTGGGGCAGGCGCACCAGTAATATGAGTAGTATTTGGGTTCCACAAAATGGGAGAGCTGCTAGACATAACTGATATGGGAGTCGAGGAAGGTTGAAGTTGCCTGGAGTATAAAACATGAGTGAACGTGCTGTGAACAACCCAATATTAAGTCGACAAACCGAGGCTTGCTGAGGGACGACCAATCACTCTTCGATGGCGAACAAGAGATAATAGAACTCATTGCTAATGGTCTGCATTAGTCTGAACACTTAAGCGATTCTACCTCGGTAACACCCGGTTATCAACGCCATGCGTTGGACTTACTGTAAGTGTCAATGGGAGGAAAAAGAAGATAAAACACGCCAAAATGAGCCAAAGTTCGGAAAGGTCAAGTGACGAAACAAAAGATACAAAACCCAAAATAGGATGTGAAAGTCACGGTAAAGCCTAGGCTTGTGACCAGCCACATATCATACTACCACGAATACTCGAGTGGTGTAGCCACTTGAAAATTCGCTACAGCCCTCCGGGCATCCAGGACTCCAGCTTTTCTCTCAAGTCAGAATACCAATTAAATATTTAGGTTAAGCAAGGTTTCTGTGACGCAGGCGGCAATTCTCAAGTCAAGATCCGGTTGGCTGCCACGGTCCATCATACAGTACTTATTAATATTCAAATCAAACAAATTGACTTTGCAACCTACCTTAATCGCTACTTGATCAATCGTTTGCTGGTGTCCAACTGTGATTGGCTTGTGTAACTGTCTGAAGCTGCCGGTGACCTGGCCCACGAAATCTCAAAGACAGAATCTTGACTCAGCTGCTGTCACTGCAACCACCTCTGAGTCCAAGTCAACTAGAGTTGCATCTTATTAGCACCTCCAATAAGCGCACAAATGTGCCTCAGAGGATCTCAGGCTCTTTCAAGTTGGATCACCGTCCTTCTCTCAGGTTTGTTTCTGTTGATGGTGTTGTGTGGTGCACCGGGTTGCTCTTTGGAGAGGGCAACAGACACCTGTGGACTGAACAGACACCATGCATCCTGTCATTCATACAAGAAGTGTAGTGTTCTCGCAACTCAGAAGAGACAGGAATGCGCCAAAGATGCAGCGGTATCATTGCTTGCAGGTTTATCTCACCGCTGCGGCGACCTGCCGGCAAATCCTTCACACGTGAGTCCTTGCTACCGTTGTTCTCATTAGTCACTCATGCAACCTTCAACCTTAGATAATGGGCCATCCGAGACCAATTGCTACCCGCAGACCGTTGGCACAGAGGCAAAGTCAAGCGTCTGGTGCCCACATCATCGATACCTCCAATCTTGCCGACTCCCAACACTCTATCGACCAAGAAATTCCACAAAATGATGTTGATGTTGAGATGGAGGACGGATTTGACTTCAGTTCATCTCTCTTTTAGTAGCATCTATTTACCTTCTTTTTCTGATCGACTCGTTCAGATAAACCGGCAGGCCATATAAGACGAATATCAAGGTCTTTCGATAACATCGAGCACTCAGAGGAAGACATCAATTACTCCGAGTCAGGTCAGAGTCTGTCAACTCAAAATTTGGTTGCCCTACCAGCCCAATCTCGAATCCGACGTGTCCTCCTAACACTCAGAGACATGCTTCAAACCCCTTTCAACATGTTTGGCCTCAGCCGACTGTACCCCCGTCATCCTTCTTTTGAGCCAGATGGATTTGTTCCGTCCTCATTGCTGGGGAGAACATGTCCGACCGCTGCTGAAGATACTGACTCTTCACCAAGGATCTTTGCTCCCCCATACCCCTTTCCCAATATGACGATATATCGCCTCATATCGTGGATGAACTCCGGTACCACTCAATTATCAGAAACTAAAGTTGCAGAGCTTGTTAAAGATGTGATGCTTGCGGAAGATTTCAACCGCGAACACCTTGAGGGCTTCTCGGTGAAGCAGAGTTTACGAGAACTGGACAAGGACGAAAGAGGGAAGAAAATCACCTTTCCGGACGACTGGATCGAGACCAGCGTCACCATCAACATTCCAACAAAGTCAAAGGAAGATGCCCCTAGGCCTTACACCATTCCCGGGTTCCACTATTGCCCTCTTGTTGAGGTTATATGTGCCGCATTTGCGGATGCTCAGGCAAGGGCATTCCATCTTTTGCCCTTCAAGCGCCTGTGGAAGGATCCTCTAGATGGTCATCAAGAACAGATGTACGACGAACTCTACACTTCTGACGCTTGGCTGGAAGCTCAGGATGATCTTCAAAAATTGCCAAAGGATCCCGGATGTTCCTTGGAATGTGTGATAGCAGGTTTGATGTTGTTTTCCGACGCCACTCACTTGGCGAACTTCGGAACTGCAAAGGCTTGGCCGGTGTATGCCTACTTCGGAAATCTCACGAAATACCTGCACTCGTCACCGACATCGGGATCGTGCCACCTTGTAGGTTTCTTGCCTTCGGTGAGCTCACCTAATTGAATGTTCAATAACCACCACTAATATGGATTATCTGAGTGACCAGCTTCCCGATCACATTAAAGATATTATATGTAGCCTACCTAGAGTATCAAAAACCGGCATGGCCTCCCTTCGCACACACTGCCGCAGGGAACTGTTCCATGCGTTGTCATGCATGGTATGTGATTCATACCATGTCAGATATATATAGAGAGTGATAAGGAAGATATGAGAGACTGTCTAGCCCTTTGTCACTAAGTTACCTCTCTATTTTTCCTTTATTTCATTGTCTTGTATTTTATTTCTCACTTTACAGGCTTATTTTACCTTGTATTTGTATCAAGCATGTGACCTTCTGTTTATTTCTCATTGTTTATTTTTATTTGGCTTCTTTCAGCCACCAAGTTTTGTATCTCTATTTATTTCTGACTGTTTATTTGTATTTGGCTTCTTTCAGCCACCAGCTTTTATTTGTCATCACATCATGTGACTGGGAAATATTCTGGTTTGTAACATTATTTAAGCTGACTCAGCATGTTTAGTCATGATTGGCCATGCTTTGTAATAACATTTAACATGACTCAACATGTTTAGTCATGGTTTGTCATGGTTTCTAATTTCTTTGTAAGATTACACTGTATTTGTAATGTACTTAGTAATAAGCTGATTCATCACCTGGTTTGTAAGCCACATTCTTACCAATCCATCTGATTAATCATGCTTAGTAAGGGGGTTCCCAAAAGGTATAAAAGGACCCCATTTTCACCCATGAAATACAATCCTCCCACTTGACTCTTATCTCAAACCGTGTGAGACCACTAAGACTTAAAGTGCAGGCCAATATAAGTGCCTTGAGGTAATCTAAGATATCATTATCTATTCTAAAGTTATATACTACCTTACAGGGGTCGACTATATAACTTTCATTATCGTTATTCTACTCTAGGTTATATACTACCTTACAGGGGTTGACTATATAACCATTGAACAGCTCTCATTCTAAGCTTTACGTGTATTCATAAGACTCTCCCTTTCAACGGAAAGTGAGACACATCTAAGGACGACAAAGTTGAAACAGACTTTCATAGGTTGAAACACGACCTACTAGGCTGAAACAAACCTAACGAATTTATCCAGAACACAGAACATTCCACAACAACTTCGTATAAGACTACACAAGAAGAGGACAACAAACTAAATCCTCCCAAGAACTCACCACGTTACCTCCCACGAAGTAGAAAAGTCGGAGACCGTGGACTTAAGGACTGGCAAGAAGTCTTCACCGTGTATAATTGTGTTGTCATTATACACAACTTTCATATAAGACCCTTAAGTAACAAGACATCACTGGAGCCCACCGCGAGGGAGGCTTCTTCTTGTACCAAACATTGCAAAACAATCGTAAACAAAGCACACTTCATATAATTCATTCCACCCACACAACAAAACGTCAACAAACATATTTAAACACAACAAAGAAATCACAACAATCGTAAACAAAGCCATACTTTGTATAAATCACTCCACACACACATCACAACATCAACAATTGTATCAACGCAACACAAACAAAGGTCAAACATGACTACATGATCCGTATTAACATTGCCTAACCCTGGAACTAAGGCAGCACCTGCCAAATTCAAGGGTGGATTTTCAGAAGTCAAGGACTTTCTGAAACACTATGAAAAACTGTGTGATTATCACAATGTAACCTCTGATGAGGAGAAATGTGAATCTATTACCCAGTACATGTCCCGTCATGTAACAGAATTTGTAGAGGGACTACCGAGCTTCAGATCTAATAACTGGGGCAAACTCAAGGCTGACATTCTGAAGTATTATGATGCAGACCTTGACACGAAGCGATATAGACGCAAAGATTTATTGTCCTACGTAAGGACAACACGAGGAAAGAAAATCCCTACACTCACAGCTTGGAAGAAGTATGTGAGAGGGTTTATTCGTATTGCAGGATGGCTTGAACAAGCCAAGAAATTAACAAGTGAAGAATATGCAAGTTACTTCTGGGAGGGGATTTATAAGAAACTCCGTATCAAAATTGAAACACGCCTCATGGCCAAGGATCCAGACAGAGATCTATCTGAAGCCTTCCCAGTAGACCGAGTTGTCGCAATAGCAGAGAAATTGTTACACCGTGACCGGTTTGATGCAGACCTATTAGTTTCTGAAGTAGAGACTGAGTCTGAAACTGACTCCTCTACTGAAGAAAACTCTGATGCCAATACAGACTCAGAGTCTAGTGAATCTGAAACTGAGTTTTTTCGTAAGAAGAAGAAGGCCCCAGAGCCAAAAGATAAGAAAGAAGTAAAGAAAGCTCAAAAGAAAGCGAAAGGACATGTCAAGGAAGCCAAAACTAAGACTTCCTCAAAAGATACTAAGAGTCCTAGTATCACTTCACCAGAACCTATGGATGAAATGGAGGGACTCATCAAGAGACTCAATGCAATCTCACTCGATGATCCAGACTATGCTTTGTATTATTACAGAGCAACACAAATCGATCCTACTATCAAAGAAATGATAGCAGCCCCTATTTTGAAAAGAGGTAATGCTACCCAAGGAGAATATAAGCCTTACTACAATCAGAATGGACAAAATAATGTAAGGCAAAACAGT